CAAGGATCATCCACTCCCAACAATCTAATGGGGAGAGTTAAGACAATATGGGAATCATGTGTGTTCTGAGCAAGACCCTCTGTCCCTTTTCGAAGGGTCACAAATTGGCATATTTGGTTTTTCACAGAAAGAGACGGGAGCCAAAAGTGTTGTCATGCCAACAACACAGAAGGTGTCATTCTGTTTCTTTTGTGATGCAAATTTGTGGTGCCAAGTTTGAAGAACACTGCTTCAATATTTCTAGAGATATTCTTGATTCAGTGTTTTACTGTTCAAGTGGAACCACCTATGATGTCATCACTTTCCTCATTTCCATAATATAAAAACATAAATATCTCTAGGACAAAAAAAGATATTCCAAAAAGGGAAATGCCATTCTTCTTTACTTTGAAAAGCCTTTCAAATAAGCAGCAATTATTTTTTACTTCATAGGCACTTTAAGATAAAACCTCAAAAGCAGGAAATTTTACTATTTTGTGCTTAGCTGGTCTTTGTTGTGTTACAGGAGAACAAAGCAAAGATGGCTGCTGCTGTTCAAGACTTGAAAAACACAATGAACAGAATTAAGCAAGGTACAGTTTATGGGTGGAAGTTATACACTTCTGAATTATTTTGTTTTGTTCTTAAAGTACAGTAGAACTCCGGTAACTCGTATTCAGTATACAGTAATTCATACAGCTATCTTGAGGAAGGTTGTCCAGTGAAAGAATAAAAGATTAATATACAACAAAGAACTACCTCTAGGTAAAATACCATTAATTTTGGTATTTTCTCATATGCTTTTACACCCTTCTGGGACAACCTTTCTAATGAAATGGATGTATATAACTCCAGTGTTTTCCTGTCTCCAACAACTAGTCTATATCGATGTTATTTCTCCCCTACATGTATGTATAACAAATGTATTAATTTATCAGTTATGCTCAAATAGAAGGTGTAAGCAGATGCAAACCTTGCCCAGGTCCTGCCATTTTTATTATGTTCAAATATAGAGTTAGACTGTAACAAATTACTCACTGCATTAAAAAGAATAGTGCAAATTCATTTCTTATGATCTTATGATTTTCAGCGATTTTATGATTTTCCCCAAGTTTCCAGAGTTGAAACATGGGCTCTTGTTGCACTTTGTGGTCATCTTTTTTGGTTTGTTTTCTGACTGATCAGTTCATGAACTGTCCCAATTTTTGCCTACAATAAATTTCCCATCTAACATTGAAGGGAAGTTTGAACATCCAAAAGTGATCATTGTCCCACCATGACTAACCCATTGACTCCTGTGCCGTCCATAACAACCTGTGACAAGCATTGGCCTTTGTTCCACTTCTGATGTCATCACCTTTGACTAAAATTGGCATCACTTATGCTCATGTTTTGCTGGAGGAAAAGATCTTTCTAATGATACCCAAATTGGAGTGATCGGCTCAATGGAGCCTGAAATATGCATGAAAATGCTCAGTAATTTGAGTGATGAGTCTCGATGATGCTTTCTCAGAAATTTTTAAACTGGAAGCAAGCCCAGTAGAAGGTCAATCACTGCAGCAAAAAGATAAGAAAAGGAGAAAAAGGAAAGGTGAAAAAAAAAAATTAAAAAAGCTGAAAAGCCTAAAGATGTAGGTCACTTTCCTCAACAACACCAGATTGAAATAAATGCTTATGGCTTTTTACATGTATAGTTGACGTGTCTGAGTATATCACTCCTCAATAATTTTTGCTGGAACCTGGTAGGGACCAGGCTTGTCTTTGGAAGCAAGATCCTATAAGATCTTTTAGGATGTGAATGAGGATCCTAAAAAGATTTTCATCAAGATCTACAAAGATCCTTTGATCTTTCTTTAGAATAATTTTTTTTTTATTTCAACCAGGTTGTCCTGCTGGTGTGATTCATAGACAGTGTGGTACAATATAAGGTTGTAATCATTCTTGTTTACACTGTAAGATTCCCTCACCCTGTCTCATGTAATTTTTCTCAAGGTGGAGATGAAAAGGCAAGGAAAAGACATACCTCAAAAGGAAAAATGTTACCTAGAGACAGAATATCCTGCTTGCTTGATCCTGGGTATGTTTTATTTTCTTTTTCATTTCTGATTAGTACTATTGATTGGAAGCTATGTTGTTCACTCAACAATTGGTATATTGTCGTGAACATCCTGCTGCCTTCCCATTCTTTAACTTCTTTATAGCGTTCTTGATCTCTTCAAATGTAATGCAACCTATCTTGATGTTTAGTCCATTGCTTGGCTCTACATTTTTTTGTACTTCTGGTGGGTTGGTCGGCCCCCCATGATTAAGGACGTTCAAGTTAGTTGTTTTTGCGCATCCTTACTGTGCACGCAAATTCACATGCCACATCATGCATGAAAATGTGCGCTGAGTAATAAAATGAACAATAATAGGGCAGATGGCCATTGTTATGGCTTTGCCTGGATTTAACGATTCTGGATGTTTGGCGGCCACTATTTTTGTTTTGATGGATCATTTTCTCTACCGATTTTCTAAGTTTAGCGAAAAAATGAAGGAAAACTATTGATTAGAAGTCTGAATTTTTTTGCAGAATACACCATTGAATTCCCTTGTTTTTAGCTCTTCATTTATCTGTGCGACGGTTTCAAATGCCTCTTGAAGGGTTAAGTTTTAAGAAAACGTTGGTAACGCAACAGACCCACATCTACAAAATATGACTAAGATAGTTTGCCTCTGTTGACTCACCTTCAATATTTTTAACTATAAACCCCTGTAACCCTGCTGAATTATGTGCGCCAATTTTTCTTCAAAATCAGGGTAGTTTACCACATGCTTTATCTCTGCAACGAAGTTGGTGACCCCCAATAATATTATTGTTTTGCATTTCTGACACAAGTAACCTGTTCTAATCTGACTGCAGCAAAAATTAAAAGAACCTAGCTATTGACTGGAAAGTTTTTGTGCGAACGTCCTTAAAGGGGCTCAGTCATGGTTTACACTTATTGAATTCGTCATTTGTAATCTGTGTTAATCTTCTCCATCCTTAACCATCCTTGTTCCTTTATGGTTTATCATTATCTCTTTCGTGTTTTTCTATCTTATTAAACTGTTATTTTCAGGTTTCCTTTAATTTAAACTTAAGGTAATTTTGTATGTGGCCAAAATAAGTTAAAATACTGTGACTGAGCCCCTTAAAGCACTCCTTCAAAGTGCCCCCTAGGTATATTAAATTACAATATTATTATTTAATAGATTGTAATAAATTACAACTAGGGCTACAATTAGTTATAAACTAGCAAAAACCATAATTAATCACAAACTAACGAGAAGAAATTCAGGGTTTCAAATAAAACAATAAAATCCACAACTTAATAGTTTACAATGTTCCCTCAGTACCACTTGTGCTTGTTTTACAAGATTAATGGTTGTCTTCTTTTTTCGGCAAAATCAGAGAAACGAAAGTAAAGCCATCCTTTAAAGCCCTTTAAGGCCATTTTACAGTCACTTGAGCGTGTGAAGTTAGTTATTTTCGAGAGGTAGAAGGTATAATAAGTTTTTCATTGTAACGAAAATACTTATGGTTCTTCCTTAGCGATTTGATTCAGGGAAAGTCTTCTTGGTTTTCCTTCACAAACCTACGTGATATTGTGAGTTTGAAAGCAATCGATAATATATAGATTTAGGCCAGCCTAAAAGTGGAGCTCCTCAGTTATTTTTCGGAATGTTGTTTCGCTCCCACAGGACTTTCGTGCTGAAATTGAATTTTTCGCTATTTTGCACTAATTTTGGGTCGAATAGTAAGAATCCGATGGGGTTCAAATTTTCAGATTCCGTCTTCCCATGTTTCTGGCTTCTCAAGGACTAAATTTATGCTAATTTATGCTAATTAGATGCAAAAATAAGTTTTGCGAATGTCTTTGCTCTTAGATTNATGTAAACAGGATCATCGCTAATTTGGAAGTTGCAAATTGTGTCTTTCCTATGGTGCATGGAGCCAAGCCATAGAAGTTCTGATTTTGCCTGATTTATTTTTAGGTCAGAGCATTTTTCAAACAGTGAAAGTAAGTCAAATAAATTAGAAACTGACTGGACATCAGCAAGAAGGGCAGTTGTGTCGTCAGCATATTGTGTGAACTTGACCTCTTCATTTCCCCGAATATGCATGTCCTTGACGTCTTTTGACTGTCTTATACTTTAAGCAAGAAGCTCCATAGCAATAACAAAGAGTATGCCTGAAAGGGGACAACCCTGACGGACACTGTGTTTTAAGTAGAAGTGTTTAGAGGCAACGCCATTGTTAATGACGCAACTAGAGATGTCTTTATAGAACACGCTGATCCACTGCCAGAGATTTGGTCCTTTTAAGTTTTGGGTCCTGGGGGAATGTAAAAGTTCTAACTTTTGATTTTGAATGGTTTTCCTCTGAAGTTTACTGTGAACGTGAAACCAAAACAGTTTCAAATTTCCTGCATTTCTTGAGCTCACCAACAGTGACATCACAAGCTTTATTTCCGACAATTATCCGACAATTTTCCCGACCGCTCTACGATTGTGAAGTATAAATACAGTGATTTTAACTTTCCAATGTCTCCACAATGCTTCATCCAATTTGTTTGAAACTTCAGAAAATGTTTATTTTTTATTATATCTCTCAGTTAGTACGTGCGCTGTGATTGGTCAATTTAGCGGGCTGTACTCTCCTGTACAGCCTGCTAAAATTTAAAGTTGGTTTTGTTGCCAAACTGTTTCGTGATTTATTCCAAAGTGTTCTTAACCTTTATAGCAAGTAAAAGTTTAAAACTTTCCTATACTCTAAATTATGTAATAAAGAGTGCTGACGACTTAAAAACAGTTTCAAACTGACTCATTTTGCTTTCGAGGAAGCATCTCCGAGTCCGCGTGAATACAAATCGTTTCTGAACCCGTCAGGGACACAGTAGAGATATAATAAATATCTTACTAACTTCGTTTTCTCGGTCCATACTGTAAGTTACAGATCCTTGTTTTTTCCCCTTCGATTTATGACCCGCACGCTTTGCACTTGGGCCATAAATGGAAGGGGAAAAAATTTGATTCGTAACTTACAGTATGGACCTTGAACTCGGTTAGTAAGAGGTATATACTTAATGAACACATTGAACTGAAATGAAAAAAATGTCTAAATTTTGGTTCATTTGACCATTAAGTATTCCTGCGTTCTGGGTTTAAGTATTCTGTTGTCCTGGAATTCCACCATTCCGAGTTTCAGTACTAGCCCACATCCCTGCAAACCCTTAAGCATTGAGTACATCTCGTATGCCTAAGGATTGTGTTTCTTGTAATGCATGGATCCTTCACGTTCGCAGACATTAGCTCTACATACAAAATTAGCGGTCAAAAAAGTCTTGGAAATTTTTTCTTCACAGATGTTATGCATCGATCATGAGTCCTTTTCTGAATAAAATTCCTACTTGATTTTTATCACTTAGTTGCCAAATGGCAACTCAAGAATTTTTTTAATTTTGAGCCCTGGACTCTGAAGTTTGAGCCATATTATTTTGATGGTTATAACTCGTGAAGCAGAAGTGTTCATCTTTCCTGTACTTGCAAAATAAAGTACCCTTCAGAAATCACCCTATAATGCATTACGTGCATTGCAATATTCTGTTAGCAATTCATGTATGTACCCTAGAGTCAACTTTGGTAGCATTTGAAATATAAAACTAGGTGTGCTTGAATAACCTATAGCCAGGAGAGATTGATGCAGTCATCTAGTAGATAAAGTTATCTAGTTAATAAAATGATAAATAACTCAAATTTAAATGAAGTTTTGAAGGATTCATATTGAAAATCTTTATGCTAATGAAGTTCATTATAATAATTTAGAAATGGAAAACATGTACCATGTTTCTATTGAGTTATAAAAACATGAGTGGAAGTTTGGGAGAACGAGAAATGCTGTGGGAACACGAGCAGCAGGTGAGTGTTTCCACAGCTTTTTCAAGTTCTCCCAAACTTTCACAAGTGTTTCTATAACTTGATAGAAACATGGAGAACATGTTTTCTATTTCTTTTAGAAAACACTGTGACGAAAACAAGGAAAACAACTTTTTAACTTTGTAAATTCTCTTTGCACATGCCATCATTACATCAACAGCTCATGCTAGTTCTGTGTTTCCATCGAGTTATAGAAACACGATTTTTAACCAATCAGTGCATGTATTATGTTAGGACTGTTTTCTAATTGATTATACTAATCAACTATGCTGGTCAAATTGATAAGATGCCAGACCAAAATGATTTGAAAGGACACATGTCCTGTTGAAGAAGAAAAATTATTTCCAACACCATGCCGAATGTTAACTGCCTCTCACAACTGTCCTTGGACTGGTGTTCCCAAACTGCAGAAGATGTTTGCTTTTGGTGTTTCTCCAGAGCCAGAGCTCTTTATTTGATGGATTAAAGGCCAACCAAGGCTACCCAAGTAAATTGTTTGCAAATTGACCAATAGCATTTTAGTGTTAAGACAATAAAATTGTCATCAGCTTATTCCTTTGTGGTGTGCAGCTTGCTTAGATCGATAATTTGATAGAAAATATGTATGGTTAAGTTCTGAGGTTTTCATTTGAACATTCACACTATAAAATTATACTATATTTGACTACAGTTTTCCAAGGATGCTACGGAACAGGACAACAGTCCAACTGCTTGTATTTGTGCTATTTTTATTTTGTAGATCTCCATTTATGGAATTATCTCAGTTAGCTGGTTACAAGTTGTACGACAGTGAAGAAGTACCTGCTGGCGGCATTATAACTGGCATTGGTAGAGTATCAGGGTAGGTTTCAAGGTTACATGTTTTATGGAAAATGTAACACATGTTTACAAAGTTTGATCCATGTACATGTATTCAAAAGGGAATAGTGTAAACACAATCCATAGGCAAAAGTTTATTTCCAGTTACGTAACAAAAATTCTATGGGTTTTGTTTTAACACGGCGGTGCAACATGAACTGGCGAAGCACAAATTGACATTTCACAGTGCTTTGTAACATACTGTACATGTAAGCAATACCTTCCCTTGTTGTAGAGTGCCTTAAATCATGTGACCATACGGTGACTTTCACCTGACTATTGATTGGAAAAATAAATAATTATACCTCTTGGTCTCAGTATTTTCGGTGAAGGAGCAGGGTGGCTCGCTACTTTCAAAGAGTTGCTACTCTTGGGATTTTTTAGCGGCCACAGTTTTTTTTTATGTGACTTTCGGGGGGTTGTTACTTTGAATTCGGAAGTCTACAGTATGTTCCCTAAATAAAAGCCAAGGATAATCTTTTGGTGAGACTGCCTTAGACTGAGATTTCTGCCTCTGAGTTGTTTTTTTTCCCCATGATTGTATTGGTGGGAACATACAGCCATCAGGACTGAATGTCCTTCAATCCCTTATAAATGAAGTTAAGATGGATTCTGCTCAAAGTTTGAGTAATAAGTGCAAAAATTATTTACTAAAAATCTGCTCCTTTCACGGTAACATTTTGAATACTGTTTGAAACATCACTCTTTAATTCATTTCTCTAAGTGGTCCAGGGGTTAAATTCTCAATCATTCTTGGGAAGAACTTCAAACCTTGTACAATTGCTTACAGCATGTGTTATTTTGTTTTTGTTGTTGTGAGTACTGTTCAAAATGGCGGCAACAATGTGGAATTTTGGATGTTGATTATGGGCAGCATGGAGTAAACATGCAAAACTGAGCTCTGCAAAAGTTTTCTGGTTTCTGTCTCAAACTGCCTAAATTTCTCTGGTATTTTGCAACCACACTTTATGTCAGGAAGACGCCTTCGTTCTGGAAAAATCTTTGTGCCTGAGCATTACGTACATGTAATAAGCGGCATTTTCACCTGAAGGAGAAAGTTGTCAATGTAAGTGAGTCAAACATGGTTGCTGCTGAGCTAATTGAATGACTAAATTCAGTGAGAGCAGACTTTACTGGCCAAATAACGAAACTGAGCGACAACGTCAAGGAATTCCAACGAAATAAAAGCAAAAGGCTGTTAAAAATTGAAATGAATGTGAATGAATGTTTAAAGTCAACGAAATCAATACTTTGAAGACCAAGCAACAAGAAATGGAAACAGATACATACATACATACATCACCTTTATTTCACCTTGGATTTACAGGAGTAGCTGTATAGCTAATTTCCCCAAGACATGAATGACATGAACAAATCCCTGCTCAACTTTGTAAATATCAATACTGAAGAGGTGGAGAACCTTTGCGAAAGTGATGAGGAACTGAAGATAAAGCTGGAACATTTAGAAAGATACTCCAGAGACTTTAGCATTCGAATACTGGGTGTAAATGAAAGTGAAGGTGAAGATTGTCTGAAGATCATTATGGATTTCATCACTTCGCTTGGCTTTGATGTTGACCCCGCTGCTGAGGAGGAGAATGCACACTGTATGGGGAAAAGATGTGATGATAAACCAAGCCATATCATCGCAAATCTTTACAGTAGGCTCTTCAAAAGAAAATTAATACAAGTTGCCAGGAGTGATGGCAGAAAAGAAACTCTTGGAGGGGTAAGAACTGTGGAAGACCCTTCTCCATGTGACTTTGAAATTCGCCAGAAGGCCATCCCACTGATGAACAAAGCATATGATGAAGGACAGGAGATTAGATTTACCAGAGGGATACTTCTGGTGGATGGTAGAGTAATCCCTGTCATTTAATTTTAAAATTTAAATCACTGATCATATTTTGGATAAATGACAGTAAAATGATCTCCTAAATTCTTTAAATTGCAACGCTCAGTTAAAGGCAAGCGCCAAAGAGCATCGCATGATGTTGTCATGTTTGCCGACAATGCTTGTGCAGTGCGGCACAAGAGTGAGGCTTTGTGCAAAATTTGTTTATATTTAATTTGTTTAATGTACGAATAACAACTAGTTATAAAAATGACGTTTTGATCTCCATGAGATCATTTTCAAGTTGTGGAAAAAGCGAATGAAATATACATATATAAGTACATATTAGGGCATGAGAATGTCCAATGATGAAATATGTAAATAGAAGTGCTAAAATGTAAGTGTTAAAATAATAAAGTACTATATAAAAAAACTATAGATATAACTTTGCACAGATTGAATCTGACTGTTTGGTCAAAGTTGGCTTAAGCTCCTTTATAAAGAAACAACGCATTGCTGGTTAATGATAGGCGGCTTCTTTACTTTTGGTTTGATCTTGTGTCAGATCTTATGGCTTGTATACACAGGGGGAATATCAATTCCAATTTTGTGGCCAAGTTCCCCAAGTTGCCTTTGCATGGAATTGGTCGATCTCTGATCCTTAAATAGTAACACTATTCTGACAGGCGCTTCATTTACGTTAGACGATCGTGCGGAAATTGGATCACCAGGAACTTTCTGGCTGTGCCAGCAACTGCCTTGGGCAATATTCTTTCTACAGAGGCAGTTAACTCCTTTTCTTTCTGCAATAGTGGGTGGAAATGCATGGGAGGTCTTTGTCTCATTTTGGGTCTTTCAGCACATACTGGTCTAAACTTGGTTTCGTTGTTTATGGAGGACTCTCTCAGTAGGCGCACATAATCCGACTTGTCAATCACAACCACTCCTGATGCCTCATCAGGCTTCATGATAGGTGTGGCTTGTACGATGCAAACTATGTCGGGTATATGTGCTGACACCTCTATCAGTGCACTGAAGAACACAAAGGATCATCTTTAATCGGGAATCACCTTAAGGTATCAGTATAACTCATTTGACTATCCGCACACGGTCCGCTCTAGTGTTCATGGTTTTAACAAAAACCCATATAAACCGTATATTTATTGGAAGCTTAATAGCTACAGATTATGACCCGACCTGTTTAAAATGGTAAAAATGTACCGTGTTTGGAAAACGTGAATATGTTTACAAAGCTTCACAAACCCATAAATCAAGGTATACACCTGCTAAATTTAGGTTGGAGAAAACGATTAACATGGCATCCGTTTCTTCGCACATTGACCTAAAAAAAAAGGCATAATTTTTTAACGAACACAGTAATCAGAATTTGCAGACATGGTTTTGTCTTCAAACGTTCTGACAACATTCCCTCTGAATTTCAGCCAAGTTGGTCCAGGGGCTGCCGACCTGGAACTCAAAATGCACGTGCAACTCGCCTATTTTTTACTTTTGAGAAACAGAAAAAAAATTAAAATTCGGCGGCATCCAAGTGTCATGAGATTATCACACCAAGGAAGATACCACAGAGGAATCAACTTTCTGTATAACAATGGACTGTGACAGTTAACATGGAACAGGTACAAATTTCCCGTGATGGGGCACAGTAAATTACTCATCAGTGAATAAACCGCTTTTTCATGTGTGAAGTCAGAATTCCAAGGTTAGTAAATGAGAAATTATCTTTTGATTTACTATATTAGCATTAGAAATTTTCAACGGTATTTTAGTGCAGCTTGAACTCATTTCGGCTTGCTTGCTGGCTTCGTGATCGCGATCATTGTCGAGTTCATCCAGCAATTTTTCTTAGTTGTAAAACGACCCTTTGACGCTTTCTGCCAATTTAGTGGCCCACTCTTTGTCGAAAGTGTTTTTTGCCTTCTTTGGCCTTCCTTTAGCCGATGAAAACGGGCAAGATCACTTTTTCTTCTTTGAAGACATCCAGCACTGATTATGGCATGCGAATCACGTGTCAATTCAGTGTGATCTTGATGTCTGTGACTTCTTGCCTCGATAATTAATTCATGTGACAGAACTTGTCAACTCTTGATTAAGTAATTAATATGCAAAAACTCTTTCTCGCGCAATAACTAGCGACAGATGTAATATTTTTTCGTGGAGTTTTTTTTTATCTTAAAGATTACCTCAAGATTTATCCAACAGCTTAAAAAAGTAAAATTATGCAAAATGGCAAATTTTCCCCTTACAGATACCTTAAAGAACAACATGGAACAGTCCCAAGTGATCTATATCATGATTTTAAGATCTTGAAAAAGTGTCAAAGTAAATTTGACTGCCTGATCTATGAAGTGCTTGTTATAAACGAGCTTAAGCCAACTTTGAACAAACAGTCAGATTCAATCCGTGCAAAGTTATTTACATAATTTTTTTTATAGTATTTTATTATTTGAACACTTACATTTTAGCACTTGTATTTACATATTTTATCATTGGATATTCTCACGTCCTAATTTGTACTTATATATGTATATTTCATTTGGTTTTTTCTACAACTTGAAAATGATTAAATGACATCATTTTTTATTGCTAGCTTTTATTCTGAAAACTACTTAAGACTTTTATTATTTATTGACTTTGAAAAGCCTTTGTTAGCCTAGAATGGGACTTTTGTGAAAAATGTTTGGTAAAATTTAACTTTGGGCCTGATTTTATACGATGGGTTAAGATTCTATACAACAACATTCAAAGTTGCATTAGAAATAATGGTTTATGTTATCACTGTTTCAATATAGAACATGGAGTGAGCTATGGTGACCCCCTCTCCCCTTGAAATCCTAATGATTGCTATTAGAAATCAAGAAAACATTACAGGAATAACTATAGACAGTGAAGAAACTAAACTGTTGCAGTTTGCTGATGACACAACTGCTGTCCTATCAGATTTGGATTCTGCATGAGCCTTGGTTATATTACTTGAACTTTTTGAGAAAGCCTCTGGATTTAAACTTAACGTAATGAAAACAGAAGCAATGTGGATTGGTTCCCTTCACAACTCTGAAAGTGAACCACTAGCTGTTAAGTGGAAAACATGTGTCAAATTTATAGGAATATTCATCACATATGACACACAGCTATTAGTAGAGAAAAACTTCAAGCAGAGGTTGAAAAAGTTAAAAATACAGTAAATCTATGGAAATCAAGAGGATTATCAATACACGGCAAGGTAAACATTATTAAAACACTTCTATAGCCAAAAATGATTTATCCCAGCTCTGTGATAAACACTCAGCCAGAAGTCATAAAAGAATTTAACAGCCTGGTTTTTCAGTTTCTGTGGAACTGGAAGTCATACCTTGATAACCTTTTGCAGAAGGAGGGAGGATTATCTTTATTTCAGTGTAATTGCGGTATCAAACAAGAGATTATCAAAGTAGGAGAGTGAATCCCCCATAAATAGGCCTTCTACCTGAGGTAATCCCTCTTGGACATGGTACCCAGTCCTTCCAAGGATGTTACTCACGCGATGCGTGGACAGCCCATGCGACTTTCTGGAAGCTACCTGAGACAAAATGGCAGGAACGTCATTTAATATGTTTTGGTTTCATTTCATACCAGAGATGTTTTCTGCACTCTCAGCTGCCTTTATGTTAAGCTCAGGGCTTTTGTTTGATTTGCGTTCGTTTGGTTGTCCATTATTTTACCGTTTATTCGGTTTTAGGAAGTTTATTACAGCAAACTTCAATGGTACAATGGCTGTGTTAGCGTGCGTTATAATTGTTTGTTCATTTCTTTGCCGTTGTTTACAAAAGGTCACAAAACAACAATGTGAAATAGCCACACTGCATATGTGAGAGAACATGAACTGTACGACAGCCAATTTTTAAAATTTCTCTTTCAAATTTTGAAGCTGTCCTGATCAGAGCCTGAGATGTGTTCTAATCCAGTATGTTTACTCAACTGATTTGATTAGCAACTGATAGCATACCTAATCGGTCAGTTGGTCAGTTGGTTGACCAACCGGCCGGTCCATCGGTCAGTCAGTTGATGGGTCTGTCAGTCAGTCAGTTGATGGATCATTGGGTCCCACAACTAGCTAGGGTATTTTCAATGGTGAGGAAACAAAAAATGTGGATTTTGTCTCATTTGATAAAAATTAAGTTGATTACCCATAAATTAGAACTGTGTACATTGACAGACACACATACAGTCAGTTTTTTGTTTGAACTCATCAAAACAGCAAATGTATTCCACCTAAATACAATGTAAGCTTAATGATTACTCATAAATGAATGATTGTTGTAAAGTTTATGCCGTGTCATGCATACAAACTCCTCAAAATCTTTTTTGAGCACCCTTGTCGACTGTATTACATGACTGTATATGAACATGTTTGTTTCAAATATAACTAAAGAGTCTTTGATATTAATTGAAAACAGAATTTATTTCATTTGACAGTTATAATAATATTCTAACTCAAACCATTGCATATGATTGTAAAGTTGGCTTGTATGCTTTTTCTTAACAAATAGATTCTGTGTTGCCATGTGTAAGTAATTGATTACAGATAAGGTCAAAATGAGGTACATGTTCATGAGGTGATACTCAAGTGTGTCACTGATGTTCTTACTGAATAGACACCATGGAATCCATCTGTTTTGTACAATAAAGTTTCAGAAATTTTTGAAATTTTTTGGGTAAAACGCTGATGATTTGGGCAAAAGTACTCGGGAGAAAACATTCTAAAAGGTAGTCAAGGCCAGGCTTATAGGCTAATTTCTCTGACGTTTGCCTTGTCAAAACAGAGTTGAGGTCAAATGATATAAGGATCCAGCCACATATCGTTTAAATGTGTATCAAGGAAATCCATGATATGGATATTATTTTAGGGCTTTCCACAAGTTGCTTGAGATTTCCCAAAAAGTTGCCTGCAATTTGTTAAAAAGTTGGCCAAAAGTTTCTCAAAAAAGGTTAAAGGTATCTTTTTGTAATGAAAGTTGCTTAAAAGTTGCTCCAAAAAAAACAAAAAAAAGCATTTTGTTGCTCTTTTCCTTTATTAATTTTGGTCTGGTGCAAAAATATGCAAATTGTATGACAAAAGTAAGATTTCTAAGGTTTTTTTGTGCAATGTTGCATCGTAACCAGTGTTGCTAAATAACTTTGTCCTCAATTAAAGACTACGCATCAATGTTAATCTTGTAAAAATTCTTCACCTGAGACACTTGAGTCAGTTGAGTGTGAATCTTCATCTGTTGACCTGGCAGCCCGGCTGCATGCATCTTGCACCCATCATCTGCCCCAGAGGGGAGGGGAGATCTGGCTCCTTGTTCACTGGAAATTTATAAATTGCATACAAAAACATTGTGAAATATTGAAGCAAGGCCAATTTAAGCACTAAAAGCTGTTCCAATTTCTCAGAATTTGTAGAAAACTAGAAGTTGCTCAAAAATGCAAAAATATGAAGACATGATTGATCATTGCAGTTATAAACACAACTTAAGCAGTTGTGAAATTAAAGCTTGAAAAAAAATTCAGGCCTGCATGAATGGGATTCGAACCCATGACCTCTGCGATACCGGTGCAGTACTCTACCACCTGTGCTATCAAGCCACTGGGAGCTGGTCATGTTGTGAGTTCATAATATACTTGTAGATGATGACGAATGCAAGTGAATATATCAAAGATCATATATTTGAAAAAGTTGCTCGAAACCAAAAAGTTGTTCAAAATGAAAAAAGTTGCTCGAAATACAAAACTTGCCAAAAAGTTCCCAAGCAACTTGTGGAAAGCCCTACCAGAAGTTGGCAAAAAAATCTAAAAGAAATGCCAAGCAACTTGTGGAAAGCCCTCTATATATTATTTCCATCAACAAAACAATTACAAAAGAATCAAAGCAAATGAAGACCAGGACTTTTGTATTTGTGGTGTCACTGAAAAGTGCCGTAATGTATTTTGAATGGCTCCCCTGAAGAGCTGTTTTACATGTAAAATTTTTCTGGAACTTTTTGTACTAGGAAGAATTAACTGTTTCGTTTAAAAGTTTTTGATTTTACCAGGTAAATAGTGTACTAGGTAAATAGAGTATCCATGTTTTCAAAATAACTATTTTTGGAATGATAACAGTTTCATTAGACTTGAGAATTTTGAATGTTTTTGTTTTTACTGCGATTTGAGTGTCTTTGAAACACTCTCGCTTTAGGGCATTGTGTAATTTTTTTCGGGCAGTAGGGTCACCCCCCCCCAAGTCCGAAGGTGCCCGTACGCCTGTGACAGGTCTGTTATGTAAAGTTTAATTAGAAATGCAGATGTCTGTTTGCTCAGCTTTCCATCTGTTTTTGTTGGTCGCTTATTTCTTTTTTTATCTACTTCAATATTTATTCTTTGGCAGAGTGGAGTGTATGATTGTTGCAAATGACGCGACGGTCAAAGGTGGAACATATTACCCTATTACAGTTAAAAAGCATGTTAGAGCTCAAGAGATTGCCCAGGAAAACAAATTACCATGTATTTACCTTGGTGAGTCTCATCTGATACACAATTATAATTATTCTAACTTATCATTAGGTTAACACTATGTTTGATCCAACATGATGAAATGTTTTAACAGGAGGTCAACCTACATGTAGCTATTGTTGTTACAGTGTATTTAGAACTACTTGTGAACTTAGTGCAATTAAATACATGTAAGTGACTACTTGGCACTGAAACAACAGTCAGACCTTGTGTCCCTTTGTACAAGAGCATGTTATACTTATTCTAACTTACACAGTTGCTATGCATGCGAAGACGTTAACCCTCCTTGTTGTCTCTAACGTTCAAATCAATCTGACAGTTATGAAGTTTCAGGACAGATGCCTTACTGTTGAAAGCAAATACTTATCTTGGCATGTGTTTCTCTCTTTATGAGGGGAGGACTGGGAAATCATGGCGTCAAGAGGTACTTTTCATGTGCTAGCATAGAACGCCATAAACAGACACCCTCCACGCAGTAAGAACCGATCCAAGTAAATCATTTTGAATTGTAAGCACTTGTTCTTTGACTAATTCGAGTCAAATGCCCGACACCAGGAAGCACAAATGTGGAGAATGCGGCTCAACCGAAAAAAGCCCGAACACTTCGAAGAAACCAAACATGGCGGACGAGAACTTTGAAGAAGCCTGCAAGGGAACCGCTGTAACCCTTGACGCAGATGAAGACGAGCCGAGCCTTCTGGAGATAAAGAAAATTCTTATCGGCATTCAAGCAACAATTTTTTCCATCAGTCAGGAAAATAAAGCGTTAAAGAAGGAAATCGAAGAGCTGAAAGCAAGTGCTAATTTCAACAAGAGGGAGCTTAAAGACTTAAAAGACTCGATCCAGAAGGCAAAGGACGAAAACAAAGCTTTAAAAGATTCCCTAGCTTCCACAGATAAGCAGCTAAAGAACGCTAGACAGGAGTTAGTAAAACAGAACGAGGAATCTGAAAGACTCAGCGAAGNTGTGATTGCTTTACAGCATCATCCGATAATGAATTTGTTAAGAACAAAGAATTTGGTAATAAACATTTGCAGATGGTCTTTCAATGCTGTGCTCTTCTTTTCAGCCCGCCTCGCGCTCCACCGAAAAAACCCTGTCAAAATCGTTTGTCGTATAGAGTGTTTGGCCCATCAATGTGCTATTAATCGTCTTCTTACGATATAAATTCCGTTGGATCATCAATACTCTAGCTTGAAGTTCCTACATGAACGTCATATCCGATGAAAGAGGTTTGTTACTTCATTTCAAAACTCCTTTTTATCAGATCTTTGAAAATCACATTTCCTTTTGTTCACAGGTTGACCTTGGAACTCTTGCTACCATAAAAAGCCTTGTCACACAGGGACGACACGATGCTGCTGAGTGGGTCAGCAGTTTTGTCCTATCGTACAGTTCGGTGGGAAGCAACTTTCAGTTTTATGCTAAGGTATCAAACTCACTGATTAGCTGAAATATCAAATACTGTACCGGGGGTGAATGTAATGTTATCCTAATTTATGAAAGACTGTGATTATTTAACAATTATTCTGCTCGCGATTGTTGGATATGAGATGATAGCCAACAAGGCGCGTAGCGCCAAGTTGGCTATAATCATCTCATATCCAACAAGCGCGAGTAGAATAATTGTTTTATTAAAAACGTCTCCAAAATATGAAAAAAAACCAACTAAAATAAAAGTACAAACGCTCAAAAATCACGAGTACGCTTACCACATTTGTGGAGCGTGGCATAATGGCTCCTATTAGCCATCAAATATTTTCGCTCGCACACAATTGGTCTAAACGCGTCACGTGACTGAATATTCCCCAACTAAAACAAGGGAGTATCGGAGTGATATTCCCCAATTTTCAAAGCCGCGCGTGTTGCGAAAAATATTAGAAGGATAATAAACACAATAGCCTCCATTTGGCGCGAAAATGCGCTCGGATATTTCTCCTTGGACATTATCTGTTTCTCGAAGTTCACAGTTTTCCTCGAGCTACGTTCTCGGAAAACTGTTCGGTTCTCGGAACAGATAATGTCCGCGGACAAATATCCGAGCATATTTCTGCGCCAAAAGGAGGCTATTGTTTCGAAAACTATTGAATTGTGTCATCCAATGACCGAGTTTTGAACAATAAGTCCTAGTTAGCAGCTTTAGCCAGCAATGCATGCGCGGGAGTCAGTAAAGGTCATGACTTAGTGATATTCTCAGCACGTTGGCTAGTGTCGCTATAAAGTCAGGCCATTACAGTGTGAACTTTTGAATTGTGAATTCAATTCTGATTTATAAAGGCCTTCAAATATGACTAATACAACTTCTTGTCATTATATTCCTCTTCCTTCTAGGTTTTCAATGCCAACAAAGACCAGAACTCGTTAGCTGTAAATATAATTAGCCCTCCCATACTGTCCAGGTTTCTCCGAATTCATCCTCGCACCTGGGTTAATATGGTTGCAATGAGAATTGAAATCTTTGGTTGTTTAGCAGGTGATCACTGTTTTACGTTTTGTAAAAGAAAAAAAATTATAATTTAAACGTCAGTGCGGCGAAGTTACTGTGGTCAATGAAGAGAGTTGTCAGTGCTTTTAGACTTGAACTGCTGAACGTTGGAAACAAATTGGATAGTTGTTGTAGAGATACAGCTCTAAATTAGTTCCTAAACATTTGGCATTCCTGGTCAGTTCCTATTGTTTCATCCTTTAGGTTTGAGTTATGCAATACAGACAACAACAAGCGACCGCTCGCGAAATAATTCCATTACATGTAACTAGCTTTTCAAGAACTTTGCAAAATTGTTAACTCGGCATTTGATATTCTGATCAAAAAGAAAAACTTTAATATTTCTACCAGCTGTACAAATTATTTATTTAATAAGCATTTATTTCATTTAAAATGAAGTGAACCTATACGCTCACAGCACAAACTTTACGCTAATTCAATAACATTCATATATCAACAAAATTTAAAAAAAATCCCTCTTTCTTTAACATCAGACTATTTTTTTTCCTTGTCTCGACAGTAAACATGCTTGTTGATAATATTAAAGACATAGGATGCTATAAAGATAACCCAGAAAGAGCCATTCCTTTACTGGAAGCAATGAGCCCGCTGTTAGATGGCAGCTATGTGCAGAGACCGGCAGCCATCAGACGTTGTGCAAAGGTTGCTTATGATCTGAAGCTTGATGTTTTTGCGGTGCAGAATGGAGGACAGTGTCTGGGAGGTCCTGATGCTAACCTGAATTATAAAAAATATGGCAGCTCTACACAGTGTCGAGAAAATGGCCGAGGAGGACCTTGGGCGAATCAAGTCTATAGGATTTTTAGTAAGAATTGTGATCAACAGATTTTGTACCAACATGAAATTTCTCGGTGGCGCTTTCCATAATATGATATTTGTCGCTTACATAAGACTTATTGCTGTCAAGGTAATACTAATAAACTTTTATCTCCGGTTTAAAAGATAACGTAAGAAAATCTGTTTCCACAGTGTCAAAGTTAAAACCACCAAATGTATTTTGACGTAGACGTAGTCTATGGGTGAGCTAAAGACAATTCACACAAGTATATTGATTAGTATTAATAAAGTGAGATTGTTCTTGTTTATTGTGTCAGGGAGATGTAACGCATCTGATGAATGGTGTGGCTGGATAAGCCAGGATGATGCTAGAGTGAGATGGAGTCTAAAGATGGCGACCGACTTGACAAGAGCTGGAAAAGGCATTGCAAGTTATGCAGGTTATGACGAGGGTAAGAAATCTGAAGAAACGCGAAGTTGGGCATTGCCTGTAAGGAAGGGCGAGGTAAAATTTGTAGCATTAGGAGTTTACACAACTTTATTTTTCAGGAAGTGTACCTGACAAACGCTACATACTGGAAACACGCCGCAGCAGGCAACTTGTTATTACTGCCCCAGTCTCAAGCCGTACACAAATCAACAAATTGACAGTATGTTACTGGTTACAGGATAACTATGCCACTCTATCGATGAAGTACACATCAGCCAGCGAGAGTGGGAAAACACCAGCCTTTAGCATAGATCAGAATTTTACATCTCTAAGACTATCAGTTTACGAAAATGTTATGTGAGTATGTTTTTTTACCTCTGCGTAACTAAAGGTTCTCGTACGATTAACATAATTGTAATTAAAAGAATACCAGGTTTGCCATATCTGGAGCTACGATGGCATTTTCAGATATGACCCCTTTTTCAAGACTCATTGTTGGATGTATGGTGCACATGATCAGTTTTTTTGTCAGGTTTATTTCACATACTATGTTAAAGGCTGTATTGTTAAAACTTCAGTTATTTAGGATACGTTCCTTTTGGCTGATCTGGATCAGGGTCAATTCTGAGTCAGAGGAACCGATCAATCCCTACCCGCAGAGGATTCATCGGTTTTTTGATGCACCACGATTTGATTAATCTAGGATAACAGATCCTGATCCAGAAGATGCTAAAGGAACTCTAAGCCATGAGCATAACGTTCGGCGTCGCTTCTAGTCCTTCAACAATTGGTTACGCGCATGATTACCTATAATGATGGTATATACTAAGCTTTCGAGAAGCTTAGTTTAGTCAAGTTATATATCAAACAAGAAAGACCGTGTTTGATCACATTTCCAAACACCGATAAGAGAGTTGAAAATACGACTAAAACTGGTGAAATCTAAAATATCTGCCGTTCAAGATCACTGTCACCTTCATGATTTCCTTTGTTTAAACTCGATGAATTGTTACTGAGTTTGAGAAGTATATATGGTTGATATTTTATCGAATAATAGGCAATATTCGTATTCACGGTATTGGACTGGAACTAGCTTGCAACCGAGGCTAATGTGAGGAGTCTTTTAAAATGCAAATGATATTTATAAGCCTCCATTACAAGCTAGTTCCATTCCTATACCGAGAATACGAATATGGTCTATTGCACTATTTCGTGTTGTAGTTCATCACGCATTTCTGTCGAAAGACACACCTGGCGTCATATATGTGTTTCTTGGAGTTATCAACATGGATTTTGGAAAATTTACCAAGATGGAAAAATGCTTGGTTTTAACAGATTGCTGAGCGCTGAACCCTTATTATCAGGTAAATTATACATGTAGCAATAAAATGATGTTCATACAACGCTGTTCCTTATGTTCTTTGTGCTTTACACGCAAAATAGAGTAGCTCAAATCATTGCTGTTATTTTAAACAACAACTATAAGTAATCGCTTTGAAGAAGAACAATTCAATTACTTTAGCCTTTAAGAAGATAGCGATTTTCATTTTAATTATCATTATGCAACTAATCCACGCAGTGCCTAGTCTGCAATTCAGGCGTATTTTTAGCGAGCGAGTGCATTTTGATTGGTTGCGCACCAACCGCTTGGATTCGGAAATTAGAGGTTTGAAGGTAGAGAAAAAGCGCCCTATGGAGAAGTAGGGAGGCTAAATGACTAGTGACAGGGGAATATGGTCGTAGGGAAATTGTCTTATGCTTCTTCGGCGTGGAATAAAGTTCAGTTATTTGATGCAGGCCTTATCCATAACTGAAATGATTGATACCTCCTCACGTACTACTCCTTGATGGCCGCTCAGTTACCCGAACAAAGTATCTAGCTCTCACCCAAAATAAACGTCTGCACTGCAGGCTACGGCAAACCCATTGGGTCATAAACAGCGTGTGACAAATGACTTTTTAATTTCAGGAACAGGAGTTGTAACTATCATTTTCCAGCAAAATAACCTGACATTTTCGTCAAGACTAACCGGAGTTAACATGTGGAACCATGACATGGGAATGGAGGAAGTGCGTCGTCTTTCTCTTGGATGTGGAGTTGAAACCGGAAATCTTCTGAACTGGTTTGACTTGAGCAATAAAGTTGACCCACCGGTTTACGTGAAGAAATTAAAAGGACCTTCTTGCACATATCGTGAAGGTGAATGTTCATCTGTTCTTGCTGCCGTTAGAAAAAATCTTGCGTTCTGTTATAATTACTTCAATTTACATTTCAGGCGCAACGCCTGAAAAGGTGATTCAGGTAAATCATCTCCCGCAGAAGACAGATCTAACTAAGGGTGTCTGAAAATACAGACACTTTTTCAAATGTACGCTCTCATAGTTAAATAACTTGTATAAAGTGAGATTAAGTGTCTTGTGAAGAAATAATGCAATAACCAGCATAAAATCAATGGAGGAGGAATATACGTGCTAAGTTTTAGAATCCTCTGGAAATCTATTGGTGATGTAATGTCGCACCGTTAAATATGTTAAGGTTTTCTGGATTCCATGTAGCATCTACCCCTTTTTGGAGGATAGTTCTGGGATATCACAAGAATATTAAAATTAACCCTTCTTTTTTTATAGATATTATGGCAATAATAAGCAGTGGTCCTGAAGAAAAAGCTGTTTTGGTGAGTCCGTGGTACAACAGATCTACAGAGGGATTTGGAAAATGTCTCCAGTTCAGATATTTAATGTTTGGACCAGGTGCTAAGACATTGAAGATATTTCAAGAACTGGAAATGGGTCCGAGACAAATTTGGAAAGATTTCAACAACAACGTTCCATTTTGGCGTTACGGACAAGTTTCTCTGACTTCTGTTGCACGGCACAAAGTAAGAGCGGGACACTGTAAAACTGTTGTTTTGCCTTCCAGGTTCTAGAATATGCTTAAATTCATTGCATATTACATCAGTAGCAGAAGACAATCGATTGATGTTGTTAAGGACATATGGTACACCAATTGCTTTATAAAGTAGCATCTTTGTTTGGAAATAAATAAATAGCAAATTATCTGCACCTGGTTAACCTGCTCTAAAATGCACGAAAAGGACTGAATCCCCGTTTATGTACTTAATATTTCATATTGTTTCATAGCTTATAATCAAAGGAGAGGTGGGCGGACTACCTGGCTACATAGCTATTGGAGGTCTTTCTTGGATTGATGGTTATTGTGAAGGTCAACCTGACTTCGTGGATAATCTAGGTAACGGTCGACCCAGTAAGCTTTTCAGTATTGTCACTTTTTTTGAGGCCCTTATACCTTGCTTGTATACCGATTGTCAATTGTATGTTATTTATCTAGCATGCAGCAAAACACTTGTAGAATCATCTGGTTTCATCTTATCACCACAATATCCTGGATTCTATGCTCCTAAGTCGCATTGCACCTGGTTAATAACGGCACCGGATAGACATGTGGTACGCCTTGAGGTAATTGACCTTCAACTGGAACACGATCCTCGCTGTGCCACTGATTACCTGGAAATAATTGATGGCAACAATTTCCAAGAACAAAGGTTGGGGAAATTTTGCGGGGAAGAAATTCCTGCTCTTATCGAGTCACGGAGCAATACAGTAATGATTACTTTTAGGTCAGACACAGACATTCAAGGAAATGGCTTTAAACTTCACTATTCCTTTAGAGGTAAGTTCATCCTTACTCGTATCAGCTATTTTTCATTAGGTTTAAATTCATTGTCAACATGATACAAAAGGAACCATGTTCATGATTTCATAGGAACAGATAATTTTTGATGCGTCAGTGTGTCTGGGACTGTTTTTGGCTGTTTCAGTGAGGTGCTTAACTTCTGGCAATAACACATCCCTGAATCGGGTGAAGTAGTGGATATATGTTGTTTTCATTTCACTGAGGAGGCACTTTTTTGCGAAAATAACATGGAAACAAAATTGCGACTTTGCTTGATTAGCCAAAAACATCAAAAACGCACGTCACTTGTTCTGATACTACAACGTAGTAATTTAAGCGTTACATGCAATATATACATGTGGTAAAGGTTTGGAAATATCTTGATCACTGTTTATCAGGGAGTTTAGGTAATCACTACGGTGACCCCGAGGACAACGTCGATTGAAAAACGAATCTATATTTTACCTGCGAATCACCCTATTATTTTTCTCACTGTCAAAACACAGCGTTAAATTTGAACTAGAACTTTAAAAGAAAAATAACCGTCATGGTTCACGTTCTCCAGACTGACAATGCAGATTTGCTAATAAAACAATTTGGTCATATCACGTCAGTTGTTTTGCAGACGGCAAAGAAATGTACCAAGGTTTTTTAAAGTACGTGCATAGCCGTTCTACTGCTGGTTAAACCTTTTGTTTAGCGACGTTCCCGTTCCCGTTGTAGTTTCCTTATAGGCAGCGTCCACACTACACCAGAAAATTTGAAAACGCAGCTTTATTTCTACCGTTTGGCCCACTGTCCATACTAATCCGTAACGAAAACGGAGCTTTTCGAAAACGCTCTTCAAACCGGAGGAATTTCAAAACGCCGGCTTTTCTTGTGGACGGAAAACATTTTGAAAACGGAGCTTTTAGACAACGATGTAGTCACATTAATCATGTGTTAACAACTTCGGACGCTTACATAAGTACACAATAAAGTTGACAACCATTTGGCAGTAAATGGGGCTAAGGTTGTTGGGTGCTCCCGGGCAAATCTAAGGGTGGCAGCAACACACCCTGTAAATAGGTACATGATAATAGGGGTGATAGCAACACACCCCGCAAGTGATGGATGAGCCAAGAAAAGTGGCGCGTGCAAAATCTGGAAATAAGGGATGAGCCAACGAGTGTGGCGCATGCCACACCCGGATAGATATAAGCCTGAGGCGGAGTCAGGGTCCCACCCGGCCTGGTATGTACCAAGCTAAGTGGCAGGTGTGCACCCAACCCTGTATTCCAGCTCTTTATTGATAATGGGAGGGGGAGGCGGGGAAAATACAGACAAATAGCAAACTAGCTACTTGCACAAGTGAGAGTCACGACAACACAAGGCGTTATTCGGTATGAGAACAGGCGAGCAGTAATTATAAATGATAACTTGATATCGTTTATCTTGTATCCATTACACATAATAACAGAGTTTTGTTCAGGCTGCATGCATCCCGACACGCAAAGCGGGATCAAGCATATAAGGCAAAGAAATGAATAGATCACAATTATTCTTGTTGAACGTAATTGTTAATGTAGTTCCAAGGACAAAGTAATGTTTGGTATGGGTCTCACTTGGGAAAAGTTTTCATCTTTGCCGGTTAAAAAAACACAAAAATTTGAAACCGCAAACCTGAAACCTTGCTTTCTTTTTGTTTGTCCACAGAACAAACTGAAGACAATATATGTGCAAGCAAAAGAGGTACCTCAGATCTTTGTCACGGTGGCTTATTTAGTTCCTAAGGGAATTGAGAATTTGAGTGAACTCAGAGTGTCTAGCATTTCACTGACGTCGTAAAGAACATGTGTTCGAGTTGTTTAATTCATTCACAATTGCAGAATAACCAATGTTCATTGTTAATCCACAGTTGCCTTACTTTTATTTTTTCCACATGAGTCAGTTTTAGACTCGTTGCTTCGTTTATGAATTTACTGCAGATTGCCCATCAGGTTGTTCATGCTACAAGATCAGTAACATTCCCGAAAAATTTGCGATAGAAGGTCTTGACCTAGGAACTCTTCCAAAGAGTATGCCTGCCTACACTACAGCGTTGTAAGTGATACTTCTGCTACTTATTCAAGGCTTTCTGTTATAATGCTGTTGTAAAGAATGCAAGGATGCAGTGTAAACACCACACTCTAAGCACTTTGCTTGCTCTCGTGTAATAACATGTGTTCAGTAACATGTAACCAGTTGTGTAGCCTCTTCCAGGCGTTCAGTTAGTTGGGGCACAGCACGAAAAACGGCCAACTAGCTGAACTCCTCGAAGTTGTGTAATAAGATTTCAACGGTTGTATTTTTTCTACTAGACTTTTTGCGAACAACAGAATAAACCAGGTCCAGGAGAAAGCTTTCTCGATGTTACCACTCGTGGAGTACATGTAAGTTATTAGTTACTACGCTTTCACGTTAGCTCTATACTTTAAAACTGCAGTACGTTGGTAGTTTTCAACCAGTAGTACTATTACACCTGTACCATGGGCCTGTGTTGAATACGGATCAATAAGAGGTAAAAATAACTAAAACGAGGCGCTTGGTGCCGATACTTTTTCTAATCATCTCGTCTACATACAACAAGAGCAAATGGAATAGTTTTAATAGATTTGTCTTAACTTATAAATCGACGGTGTTATGTGGACATTCAGTTTGATCTAAGCGACGAGATGGTATAAAAGGCGACAACGTCTGTGTCGAACTATTGTTCACTTTTTGAGCTAAATGAAACATGTCAGGACACACGATTTTCTCCGGAGATAGCCCTTGATAATCTCTTCTAAATCCTTTTAGACTCTGGAAAATTGTAACAAATGATAAAAGGTTACGGGAAGATCCGAGATAATAGAGTTCTTGAAAACTATGTGCCTCGTACAAGCCCAATGAACAAGGATTACTGACTTGTATAAAGCTCAACGTCTGGCATCATTATCATCAATACTAAAACTGTTCAGAATCGATCAAGTTCATTTAAGCGTGCTAGTAATAGTTCTCACTAAAGCTGCCCCCGTTTTCTATTCTTTTCTTTTTCTTTTTCTTTTTTGTGCTGTTTGAAACCAATTGAACATTATTGTATGAATTCAAACTTTTATTTCTTTTTTTTTGTAAACTATATCACTCATATTGTTCCTTAATTTAGGCAATTTATCATGAATATGATCTAAACAATCAACTAAGTAAACTTAAACAACACATGCTATTTAAATCATTCTATTCCAGACAGTTTTAAAGAACAAATTTAACACATGAGTATTCTTTACTTATTATATAAAAGTTAGTGGTATACCGAGTGGTAACAAATGGATAAAAATGATATGATGTCTTCGCATGTGAAGATATGATATCGTCACATGTGAAGACATCATTTTGGATAACATTTTGTTTTTGTCCCTTTGTTGGTGGTTATCTTCGGTAATCTTCGGAAAATGATTGGAAACGTTCGTCTGGCCTTCGGACAAACTTTGGAAAATCTTCGGAAATCTTCGGAAAGAGGTCGAAAATCTTCGAAAATCGCCACAAACGTCGCTCCGCACTCGAAGATAAATTTTATATCTCCGCGCAGCCATGTAATATCCTCTATTTATTTATTGTATTTTCGGGGTGAAACGGAATCTGCTGTTTCAGCCATTTCGTCGACATTTTTTTTCTTCTCGCCGACGCTTGCCAATAAATCAGATATACTGACTAACAACCGGGATTCGGTGAATTAATCAGAAAGCTAGAAACTTATTTTGCAAGGTTGACAACTTTTAAATAATGCCAAGTATAATAACAACGTGCCTGTGCTACTTCGTGATTTTTAGAATTTTTCCACAGCATCATTAACGCTATCATCCACTTGATAGTTAATTCCCGACTAACTTGCAAAACTCCTCAAGACTAATAAGTGTCTATATTTCCTGTAAGATTTTTCCGGTTTTAGTATCTCTATAAAACATAGATATTAGTCTCCGACTTTTTACGATTCGAATTCCGACGATTTCTACCCCTGAAAACGATCTTTAACGTTCCGGCTTGAGCCACGCACATCCATGCACGTTGACTGAGCACTTGGAGATTGGAATCTACTGACGTCACTTCGGGAAGAACATGAAAATTTCTTAGAAATTGGTTATTTCATGATGTTCTCAATTTGCAGAAGACGGCTGAAAATTGTATAAACATGCATGATTTTACTACGATTAACGTCCAGAGTTATTGTTTTACTCCACACTCATTCTTGTTGTCGTTGCTGTCCTGGTTTGCATAATGCTTCCAAGATACGAAATTTACACGAAGCTTCCGGAGAAAAATTATTTCTCTTCAAGATTTGTCATTCTCAAAGTGATTTCACGGCCATGCTGTTCCATAAGACACTCGCTCAATTTGGAAGGCCGTGGCTCGATTTTAGCGGGGAAAAGGCTACGAAATCTGAAAAAAAATTGGAGACTAATTTCTATGTTCATTAAACATACCAAAACCATAAAAACGCGTTATACGATATAGACACTCCTCCCACCCCCAGCTCAAGGTCTGGATCCGCCACCGAGACTTTTAATATTTACCTGTTAGATATTTCTTGAGAGTTACTTACAATTATTTGTTCCTATTATGACAGTGACCTCAGCAAGAATGTAATTCTGGTTTTGGCGGATTCTTCATTTCAAGATCGGAAAACGTTAAGAACCATGTAAGCCGATTAGTATTCTAAGGTTTCGCGTATTACTTGTTCATGTTGTTTGTAAAGATGTTCAATAGTAATAAGTCGACAACAGACCATCAGTTTTCTAATGATACAGTTTAAAATGTGCTTTCCTGAGCCAAACGCCCTGATCAATGGTCAATGATCAATATGCTTTCCTCATCCAAACGCCCGCAACATTTCATTCCAACATGTTGGTTGGTGCCACGAGAAAGCCAAATGAGTGCTGCACTGTCGTCTCCAAAAATTTTGCTTTGTTTTTGTCAAAACTAAGCAAGAAGTATACTGGGTGTCGGGGGTGAATAAAACTCATTAATTTTTTGTTATGCTAATGTTCGTTCTCACAATCCTTCAGAAAATTAACTGGAAACTTTATAAGGAAAGTGACTCCAAATGTCTTTTCTGGGCTAGAAAGTCTGGAAGACCTGTAAGTAAATTATTGATTACTACCATCATACAACTTTGTTTCTAGGATATTTGTAAGTTTTAATACAATGAAAAAATTTACACTGAACCCTACAAATTACGAGATCCCAAATGAGTGGAAAAGATAAATTAAGCAAATCATTAAAACAAGGAATTAGCGGAAATCAATCAGTTTGTAAACGTTTTGCCAATTCACAGAAATGGTCTAATATATTCAAGAAAGTTATAGTAAGTTAAAAAAAATAGTGTAACAATCACGTAACAATTCCGTAACATGACTGGTGACAATAATGCGAGATGAAAAAACGGTAAGAGCAACCACGGTGTGATGGAACATTAAAGTAAGTAGAAACAGAGAATGTGGAGCGGTTAGGACGGGTTAAATGGTACAAAGAACACAGCTATTTTAACAAACGATAATCAAGACTATTATTATTGTTTTAAGCTGCAATTGAATACTTTTTCGCTGAATACGAATTTAAAATGTGGAAAAACATAATCTTCTCTTCCAGGTACCTTAGAAGTAGATTTGCAATAAATTATTTTTCCTAGGATCAGTTAGTTCGATTTGTGGTTGTGAAGGCAGAATAAAAAGCGTCATTTAACCCCTAACCTTGAAAATCAACATGCCTATTTAAAATTCAAAGTCAAGTGCGATCTCGGTCGCAATGTTTCAGTAGAGTCCAGCTGTTTTACCGCTCACTCAAATATCTATACGTTTACGTAAATCATTGGTACATATACGTATACTTATATTATACACACACCAAGAGATCATCACGGTGAGTTACCTTGATAATCTCTTGACATATAGCATACGTATTGGCATGGTATAAAAAGGGCAAGGAGAGACAACGTGACGTATGTATATCGCTATTTTAATTTTTCTGGGAATAAAATACATGTATATTAAATTATTGGTTCAAACAAGTCTGTTTGAAACTCAGATACCTTGGAGAGAACCTGTTAACAGTGATTCCAAAGGGAGCGTTTAGCCATGTACCCAGCCTTAATGTACTGTGAGTATGGTAATTTATCAGTAATTATAATCATGGCAGGCAACCCTTCTAGCGATGAGATATACTAGTTTATAAAATAACACAGACAACTCAGAACACTGGTGAAAACATAAAGCTTTATATCTATTTTCGGCTTTCACTTGCTGAGATATCAATAACAACATCTTTGAATTCAACATATCCATAGAAATTTGTAAGAAAAACAGGACCAGAATTTAGTCACGTTATAAATGCTTGATCTTTTTTAATTTCCATGGCCAAAAGTTTACGTCGATTCCGTTTACTCTTGAGTTTAAAAGAAAGTTTTAAGCGTTTTCAATGCTTTCCATGGTTTGTGGAGGACGCAGTTCTGTCTACAGCTGGGCTTGAATAGACAACAAAATGGCTGTTTTTGAGAAAATGGCAGCCGTTTCTTTGCGTTTTCGAAGTGTCTGTGAGGAGAATGTAGAAAAAGTTTTGAACGACTAGGTAGCAATAGCTATTATTCCATGTTGCCGTCCATCTGTTCCGTAATAGATCACAGATGACGTCAAAATGTGGTAAGAACAACAAAGTGGCGCTTGAGGCGGTAGCCGAGTGTGTGTCTGATATTCTTACCACATTCATTCCACGTCATCTGTGATCTATTACTGAACAGACGAAAGAACCAAAAACAAGATGTTGATGATGAGGGGGGAGGGGCAAGGGTATTTTCATGACGCCGTGATCCGGTTTTTTGTGCTCTGTGAATCGTGATTTGATAAAAAACTGTTCCGTGAATCGTGATTGAAGTGTATTCCGTGAGGCGTGAAATGCTAAAGTCCTTGGCTGTGTATCGTGAATAGATAAGAAATAAATCGTGAATGTCTAAAGTTGAGTTCGTAGCTGAATTTCACTGCATTGTGATCAGATTTTTTCCGTGACCTTAGTGAANTTGTAAGAATAATAAGTTTCGTCTAGTACAATAGTTAATGTCAGCTCGGTAAGTAGTTATTCCCAAGTAGTATCTAGTACTGTAATCATTTATTCTGTGTTCTGTAAGGCAATAACTTAAAAAAAAAAAACTACATCCACAGTGTGATAGCACAAAGTCTCCCCCTTCTTAACTCATTCATGCGCAATGAATGAGTTTTAGTGATGGGGGCCTTCATCCGGGAATCTGCATGGACTTATTGCCATAGACGGAAATTAAATGTTCATTAATTTATGCTGTCATTAACCAGAAATAACAGTTCAAGAAGAAAGCGAGGTGTGCCGACTAGGGCTCGAACCTCAGCCTGACATCAAGATGAAGATATCCCCTTGGTCATCTCAACATTCCTGTGTTAAGTTATAATGAGGGGAGCAAGGGTATTTTCGTGACGCCGTGATCGGTTTTTTTGTGCTCTGTGAATCGTGATTTGATAAAAAACTGTTCTGTGAATCATAATTGAAGTGTATTCCATGAGGCATGAAATGCAAAAGTCCTTGGCTGTGAATCGTGAATAGAGAAGAAATAAATTGTGAATGTCTAAAGTTGAGTTCGTAGCTGAATTTCACTGCATTGTGATCAGATTTTTTCCGTGACCTTAGTGAATTTAACGCTTGAGTCAAGCTGACCGAGAGTAGTGACAAAGGAAACATGTTGACAGGTTTAAATAAACCTGTTGATTTCCTGATCACCGTGTTAGCCAATGAACCGGTCTCAATAGGATTTTTGACTGATGAGCCATTGATGAACGACATGATGCTGTTGGTCATTTCAAGGATAAATTCCCCACATCTCTTAACTACTCCCATAATCTAGGAAACACTGTGTACGAAAGCATCAAAAGGATCACAAGCTGGGCAGCCTATTATTCCACTCACCCAACATCCTACTATCCAGTTCCAGACAGTTCAATTCCACTGAAAGACATTTCCAAACTTTCGCATCTTGGGAGAACAAGGTACTTAAATTCTACCCAAGAGCAGATCATGAGAGAATGGGCAGTTCAGCATGGCAAGTGCGTTTGACAGAGAACTGTGAGGCAAGAAACAACAAAGTTCAAGGCTGGCACTTTGCCTTTGAATATGTATCGTCCAGCAGATTCTGCTTACCCGAAGGACAAGATCCACCACGAACCTCCCACACAGTATCAGCCAGCTGTTCCACCAATCTTCGACAAACAAGAAGAGCAAGAGTAAGAAGTCACCTTTGCTCATCCTGAAGTGTCTGAAGCCCCGGAAGTCCCAGAAGATGATGTGCAGTATGACATAGACAGTGGCCCTGACGATGCCGTGGAAAGTGACAATGACAACGATACTCAAACCTTCTTAAGAGCCGTAACAACTCACAGTGGAAGAGCTGTCCAAGTCTGATATTTCTCTTAAGAGGTCTCTTAAAGTAAAACCAACAAATTAAGATTTCAAATATCACCTTTCCAACAACTGTAAATTATTGGTAAAGTTAAAGAATGCACTTTTTTGTACAAATTTTGATTACAGTTTCGTGCACATGTTCGAGAATGGTGAAAAGTGAATTTTTTGTTTCGTGATTCGTGAAATCGAAAATTTACTATCGTGACTTCGTGATAAGACCCCCCCCCCTTGCCCTCCCTCTTATAACTGGCACCCGTTTTACATGTATGAAGCTCGATTTGGCACAGAAATTTTTGTAGAGCTCAACGACTCTACACTTTCGTCACCAGTCTCCTCCTACATGTTGGAAAGATACATTACCTCCTACTTCATAGCTTTTACCATTGTTGTGTATTGTTACTATGGTTACCTGCCTATTTCGTAACATTTGATTTCAATTTGTAGCATATTCCTCGCATATATCTCGCATATATTAAAGTGTTATTACAGTGTTATTACGGTTTACAGTGTTTTAATCGTTTTCAATTAAAATTCTGTATTGAGTTTACCCTCTACCATCTACGCTCTACGCTCCACAGTTCTATGTACGGGCATAGAGGCTTACAGTCATTGTAGCAAATATTAAAGTGCATGAGGAATGTTTAGTGTTATTACGGTTTACAGTATTTTAATAATCTTTTTAATGTACAATTCTGCATTGAGTTTATCCTCTACGCTATATGTTCTACCATCTACATTCTACTCTCCACATTCTACCAGCTACTCTCTTCAATCTACGATCTACCATCTACCCTCTAAGCCCACCTACACTCTACATTCTACCAGCTACTCTCTTTGATCGACGCTCTGCGCTCTACGATTACCATCTACCCTCTACCCTCTAAGCCCATCTACTCTCTACTCTCTACGTTCTACCAGCTTCTCCCTTCGATCTATGCTCTACGCTCTACGATCTGTGATCTACCCTCTAGGCCCATCTGCTTGGAAGGTTGTTGAAATTTTTAAATTTTTTTTAAATTTTTTAATGAAGACTAGTGAGCAGGACAAAGGAAGACTTCTTGTAGTTGTATGCTTTTTCGTTTATTTCCGACATGTTTCGTCTTTTCTGAGACTTCTTCAGGGAATGATTACAACTAACATTGAACAGCATATATAGCACATAAGCGTGCCTTAGTTGAACTTCCCATGGAAGTGAATAACTGCTGAAACATGCTGTAAATGGATGTTACAAGAAATGCCTTAATGTACATGTTATTGCATGTTGTTATATTTTGGGGGCCATATGATAGTGATTAGTGCTAATTGTATGGCCCCCAAAAACATACTATTTACATAGATGTGCTAAAGTAGTAGCAGATTTATAACTGACCATACAGTCTAAGTCTGGTAAATGTCTTTGGATAACCAGCTTGATGTTAGTGGCTCTGAAATAAGCCATTTATTTGAACTTGAAATGAACAGCAATCTCTACGACCAATTACGACCCTAAAAACTAGTAAATAACATCTCCATGTGGTCGCAAAACATCCACTAAGCGTTCAAAGTCACATGACCTAAATATTTGCACTTTTTGAGTGCACTATAACAAAATGCCCCTCACATCAGTTAGCATGACCACAGTTAAGTGTAGATTTAAAGACTACCATTCTACTGTTGCGAGATTTACGTTTTAGTGAAAGCCATTTAGTTCTGTTACTTTATTTAACCTCCCTGAATAAAGGAAGTAAAAACCCAACTGGGTAACCGCAAAGCTGGAGGCGTTTCCAGAATTTCTCGCGTTTCCCTAAAGGTTTTAAATGTGGAGCTATTTCTAGTGTAGCACATAAGTTCATCTCTAATAAAGGCCCTCTTGTTGCTCGTGGGATGAAATGACTCAGAGAATGTACAGATACTTATTTAGTGGCTTTTGATAGGTAGAAAACTGCAGAGTGCTAAAATTAGCATCTTTGTAAAGAAATAAATCAAGAAACGAAATACTACTTTCCTCAATAACATATTATGTAAGTTTGATATGCCATAGAGACAACTAAGAAACTCTAATAGGATTTGTTTGGGACCCTTCCAAACAAAAAATGTGTCTTTTTTCAATGTTTTAATTTTTTAATCTTTCTTAAATTTTATTTTTTTTAATTTTTTAACATTTTTTATATTTTGGGGGCCATACAGTTAGTGCTAATCGTATGTCCCCCAAAATATAACAACACGCAATAACATTTGCATTAAAGTGTTTCTTGTAACTTCCGTTTACAGCATGTTTTGGCAGTTATTCACTTCCATGGGAAGTTAAACTTAGGCACGCTTAAATCATTCCCTGAAGAAGTCTCAGATAGAGACGAAACGCATCGGAAATGAACGAAAAAGCTTACAACTACAAGAAGTCTTCCTTTGTGCTGCTCCCTAGTCTTCGTTAAAAAATTAAAAAATTAAAAAAAGAAATTAAAAAATTCCAATAACCTTCCAAGCAGATGGGCTTAGAGGGTAGACCATAGAGCGTAGAGTGTAGATTGGAGAGAGGAGCTTGGAAATCATAGAGAGTAGAGCGTAGATGGGCTTAGAGGGTAGAGTGTAGATTGTAGAACGTAGAGCGAGTAGCTGGTAGAACGTAGAGAGTAGAGCATAGATGGGCTTAGAGGGTAGATGGTAGATCGTAGAGCGAAGAATGAGTAGCTGGTAGAATGTATAGAGCAGAGTGTAGATGGGCTTAGAGGGTAGATGGTAGATTGTAGGGCGTAGAGCATAGATTGAAGAGAGTGCCTGGTAGAACGTAGAGAGTAGAATGTAGATGGTAGAACATATATAGCGTAGAGCGTGGAGGGTAAACTCAATACAGAATTGTACATTAAGATTATTAAAATACTGTAAATCATAATGACACTAACCATTCCCCATGTGCTTTAATATTTCCTACAATAACTGTAAGCCTCTACAGCCATACATAGAACCATAGAGTGTAGATGGTAGAGGGTAAACTCAATACAGAATTTTAAATTGAAAGTGATTAAGACACTGTAAACCATAATAACACTTTGATAACACTTTAATATATTATGTGAGATATATGCAAGGAATACGTTACAAATTGAAATCAACTGTTACAAAATAGGCAGGTAACCATAGTAACAATACACAACTATGGTAAAAGCTATGAAGTAGGAGGTAATGTTTCTTTCCAACACGTAGGGGGAGACTGGTGATGAAAGCATAGAGTAGTAGAGCTCTAGGAAAATCTCTACGCCAAATAAAGCTTCATAAAATGGGCTCCAGTTGTTTGATCCATCAATAGCTTTGAACAGTGACTGTTAATCAAAAGGTTACCAAATGTCATGTGCAAAGGCTTCATGCTCAAGAAGTGTTTTCCTTGTGCAAATTATTCCAAATGTCCATACCACCTCATTTTCTTGTAATAATTATAATTACATTGCTTTTATGGCTTGAACATTTTTATTTTCCAATACCTATATGTGACCCTATTTGGGAAAACAGAGCTTGATGAAAATTGTGTTTAAATGCATTTCAAGAAATTTGGAAAGCGTTGTGAATGCATTGTAATGCTTGATAATGATTCACAATGATTTTCAACATTTGTAAAGGATTTGTTATTGAAGCAGACAATGCTCTTTTAAAGGCAAGAGTGATTTTGTAATATTTTTCAATGTACATGTACGTTTGCTTATGATTTCCAATGAAAAGGTAAAAGGTTTCAAAATTTAATGCTGTTAACCTCAACATAGCGATGATGTGAGTGGGTATATTCATCTTGTGGATTCTATTCATCAACTAAACTGGCATGATATAATCATTATTCACTTTCAAATTTTTCATTGAAAACTATGCCACTTTTCTTTCCAGTAGCATTACAAACTGCAATTGTCTTCTCTTGAATGGAAATATTTCCATTTGGAAATCTTTTGCAAGGCAAAATCAATGTATTCCTTATCACACACACCGAGATCTGACTGGTGGAAAAGTTCATGGCTAGTGTACTTGAATATTGTTCTCTCCCTGAATCGTACTACTTATATATTTCTTATTGATCCATTTACTGCAGCAGTGATTACAATTTTAGCCAGTCACAAAATAGAAGACCATAGAATTTAACACTTGCAGTTCTTACTTTAGAGGAAAACTGATTGTCAACAAATTAATTTTGAGTTGCTAAAACTTTGTTAATAAAGTTACCATTATTTAACAATAGCCTAAACCGTGTATTACACTGTGATAAAACATGACGGTCATTTGAGCACACAAGGGAAATGTAGAAAACACAAGTAGAAACAACAAAGCACACAGATCGACAAACTGACGCAATTTAAAACCACTAAAGTGCTACAAGCAAACCCCAGCAAATGTCTATCACAAATTTCTTTAAAGGAAATGTTTTTCACAATCTCTAACAAAAATGTTGACTAGAGGTGATGGGGCAAAAATTAATAAAACACCCTTTTTCTATGTTTTATACTGTGATGAAACCTGGGTTTTTAACTATCAGAGTGCACGTAGGGTCCTACCTATATTATAAAGTGTAATATTGTTTAAAATGTGATTTAGCCGTTTACAGCAGTGTGACAATAACTTTCAATTCATTCACATTCTTTCATCCACCCAAACCATCCAAGCAGAACCCAAGAAAACCCACCTTTGGCTTATTAGATAGTCTGCATACAAGAAAGAATGCAAATTAATTAAAAGTGGTCCGACTTCTGGGCTCCTTGCTGTTAGGTAATTAATGGTGTCATGTTAGGAGACGTTGTGTATAATCATGTAAAAACAGCATCATAATAAAATAAGTAATCTCAGGATAAAAAAGGTGTTGGAACCAAATTGGCTATAAATTATAAGGTAAAATGGAGTGACTAAATTACTGCAAGTCAGAATAGTATTCTTGTTCTCATAAGAGGTAGCATGGAGAGAAAGCAAAAAAGTAAAAATCCACAGATGTGAAAACCAACATGAAAGCAGTAAGAAAATCAACTTATATTATACATTCAGACATGAAAATTAATCATTACTGCTAAGGATTTTTGTAAGTTCTATTCTTGGCTTTTATTAAACCTATACTTATTTATTAAACACCTCATTTGAAAATGACTATTGTTTAATTTAGTTGATTCAGGTGGAGCTAATCTTACAAGGCAGGCTGAAGTCTTTCCAGATAAACTCCATTTTGGAAGAATATTTTACAATCAAGCAACCATGTCTTCCAAGGGAATCACTCAGGTACATATTTTTAATTGAAACTTCAAAAACATGCTTATTACATGAAGGTTTAACAGTGCAGTGTATTAAGTACCAATATCTGTGGTATGTGATAGATGTTACTGACAGTAACATCATTCTGGCTCAAATAGTGTGTAATAATTGTTATGAGCTAAATGTACGTGTTGAGTGGTATACTACAAAATGTCCGTCAAGTGAAAATGAATGGGAGTAGGCTCCTCCTTGTCATTGCTATATTTGTTGTTGTCATTGTCTTCATGATCATCATTGCGTCTTTTCCCCTGATGGAAAATGGGGCCTAATAGAAGTGGAATGCATGCATCATACTATCCTATAGTGAAAACATTGATAGAAAACCTAGTACATGTATAATGTCGGAAAGATGAATTTTACTCATTTGTCTCACAATGGAGTCACTTTCAGATGTTGATTGTGACATTTCGACTGCTATACTGCTAGTCTTCATCAGGCAATGAGGTCAATTGTTAACATGTTGCTTTTTCAGGCGGCATTGGACACAACTCGCAAAGCATGTTGGGAGAAATTTTTGCTCGAGCTCATTTTCATCTGATCCCCAAACAGCAAACATCTCCACGTGCTGAAGGTGATATGGAAATATTTCTTATAGGTTCATTCGCTTCTTTTTTTTTAATTTTTCAATTTTTATATTTTGGGGGCCATATGATTAGTGCTAATTGTATGGCCCCCAAAATATTAGAACTGTTCACAGTCCCCTATTTTTCCGCGAGATCGTAGATGTCAATCGTTGAGCTCGATGGGCTGCCATCTTGGTCTTTTGATGCGAGCAAAACTGGAGAGAGTACAAAATGCCCGTGGGTAGGGGTGGTGGAGGGCACGGCAGGCGGAAAAAATAGAGACTGTAACAGCTTCACTCTGTCTCATGTTAAAGGGGTGCGGCCACCAGTTTGGCGTCTCCATTAGTCAAATCAATTAACAATCTCCTCCCCTGAGAAAAAACCTGTCAAATCAGGGACGATGATATGATTACCTGTTACTGTCTTGTGAATTTCGAAACATTTTGGAGGTTTACTAAGTTGAGTCGAATGAATGCGGGATGGAAGAACTCTTCTCTGACTCCAAAAAAAGCGGCAAAGCCCGCAGAGAATTCCAATTATTGAGATGCGTGCTGTCTTTGTGGCATTAATTGTAAAGTGTCAGTCGGAAATAAGAACAACCAACAGAGCTTTCAGCCATTTCCTTCGCCAAAACGAAACTTTGATATTTTAAACTCTTGCTGAAACCAGTTGGAAGAACCGCCAAAACATCTTTTCCTTCAAGTAAACGAGAAACGGCCTCCTTTTGTTCGCACTTTGAAACCAATCCTCCAAGACAAGAAGCAGACAGACGATCAAAATCAAAACATTCTCCAGAAAATTCTCTTGAAGTCGATGCCATTTTGGCCTGAGCCACGAAGTAATGAATGTCACTTTCTATCACTCAAGTTGTCAATGCTCTGCTACGTTCTGATGAACTCTATTGTCCCTTCGACCAATCAGGTGTTGCCGTTGCTGGAGCAACTAACGCAGCGAACACCAGACAGAGTGAAGCTGTTACAGTCTCCCTATTTTTTCCGCCCCGTCACCCCCACGCCATTAACCCCACCGCCACTACCCACGGGCATTTTGTACTCTCCCCAGTTTCGTTCGGATCAAGAGACCAAGATGGCAGCCCATTGAACTCAACGCATCTACGATCTCACGGAAAAATAGGGGACTGTGAACAGTCTACCAAAATATAACAACACGCAATAACATATGCATTAAGGCATTTCTTGTAAAGTCTGTTTACAGCATGTTTCAGCAGTTATTCACTTCCATGGGAAGTTCAACTTAGGCACACTTATGTGCTATAAATTATACGCTTTTCAGTGTTAGTTGTAATCATTCCCTGAAGAAGTCTCAGAGAGAGACAAAACGCGTCGGAAATAAACGAAAAAGTTTACAACTACAAGAAGTCTTCCCTCGTGCTGCTCACTAGTCTTCGTTAAAAAATTTAAAAAACAAAATTTAAAAAATTAAAACAATTAAAAAAATAAAAAAATAAAAAATTGTAAAAAATTGTATCTATTTTGTAGACAATGTGATAAACACAATGTTGGTCTTGCTTTACTTCCTTGAATGTAGTAAAAGAACTACTAATGAGTTTGCCTCAGACATTGCCACTGGCAATATCAATAGGTTATTCACAAAAAAATCCACACACCCCCAACAGATGGACATGCTTTTTGACTGCCCCTTCCAACTGGATCTCCTCAAGTACTAGACCCCCCTCCTGCCAGGATTTCCAAGGCAAAAGAACCCCCCCCCCATGCCTGGATTTCCCAAAAAAATTATGGGCCTTAAATTTCATTTATATTCAGTAGAATTCTTTGCACAATCATATCCAGAATATGCTCTTGTGTAATTTCTAAAGCTTCAGCCAATATTAAGCTTACAATTATTATGTAGAACTCAATAAAACAAGCTAAATACAAATACATTTTTGGACTCGTAGCTTTTTGAAAACATGTGACTTGTTTCTTACACAGCGCAAAATATGTGTCCAAATTTAAAGGATAAGACTTTCGGTAACTCGAATAAATATTTTACCTCTAAGCTGGGTTTCTAATAAGGTGAGGGAACGAAATTGTGTGGAATATTGGAGGCAAACTGTGTGGGAGAACACTTCGATTGACTGCATGGAATTGTGCGGATTGTGCAATCTTTTGATGAACAAAATTTAAATTTCAACTGTTCTTGCCAAGTGCTACAGCAAGGAAATTCTGCATTGACAGTATATATAGTTTAGCTTAGTTTATTTCCCTAGAAGTTCAAATACACCTAGCCCGGGACATCCAAACGATGGAAATCAATGATTGGAAAACCAATCGATCAATCGGTATCAATCGATAAAATTAGTTAATTGGTATCAGTTGGTATCGGTCAATCAATGAACAATCGATAACCACGCAAAAACTGTTCATCGATTGCTATTGATTGGCACAGAAACCTCGAACAGACGTCACACATGCTACTTGTCCGATCATCCGCCATTTTTAGGAAGCCAGTGCCAACCCAGTCTTCTCAACGCAAAGAATATACCCTGTTGCACGTGTACTTGAATTACCCACTTGCCCGTCATTGCCTTTCCATGTCATTTCTGTGTCATTCTTAACCATCGTGGACAGCTCAGCTTATTTTATTTCTTTCAGACACAATTGGCACCTTCATAGATTTTTTGTTTGTATGTTTATGATCTTTGTTTTAAGCACGATTAGGTTTGTTATTATCAGGCTAGGCATTTTCTGCTTTATTCATTATTTTGCATCAACTCATGCTGTTGTTAGCAATTTCATTGTTTGCCAAATTACAACTTCTGTTACCAGAATTTTTCTGTGAAGGCGCAATGCAACCACTTTCCATCTTTTGAAGTCTGTAGTATTGGCCCGTGTCCGCTCTGGTAAATAGCTTTCCACTTTGGATAACGTTTTCAAACTTCAAACGTTTCTGTTTTTGGTTGACGTTTTCATGGGATATGTGTGGACGGGGGAAGCAAGAACAGGAACAGCTTTTGAGTTGTCAAAGGAAAATGGATACCTGTGGACAGTGCTTTGAAGAAAAAGAAGAGAGTATTGTTCTCCTGTTAACTTTGAAAGCATTAAAATGAAATGTGTTTACAATTACTGAGTACAAGGATGTGATATTTATGTGCCAATTCCATCAATCTGCAGCCAATCGATATCAATTTATCTATTGATTGTTATTGAAAATCGATACCAATCAATAACAACACAAATCTTCACCATTGATTGGTCATCGATTAACATAGATGAGGACCACCAGATGCCAACCTTGTTAAGCTTAATTGGTGGCAAAACGTACACATTGTTGAGAGATCTTCTGACACCAGACTAACCAGCTATGAAGAGCTTCCAGGAGATCGTCAGAACCCTTCAACAACACTTTAGTCCTAAACCATTAGAAATAGCAGAATGTTTTTGTTTTTACAAATGAAACCAGCGTGTAGGAAAAACTGTGTTGACCTATGAAGCCGATCTGAAGAAGCTAGCAGCCCACTGCAATTGACGGGTTGGTCTGTGGCCTTCGCAATGTACAGATACAAAAGTGTTTGCTCTCAGAAGCCAAACTGAAATATACCAAGGCTTTGGAGATTGCCGTAGCGATGGAAACAGCCATTCTTGATGCTTCGGAATTGCAAAGTGAATTTCAGCTAGAACAACCTAGAGTTGACGAGATATCAGATAATAGCAAAACAACTCCAGTACTTCCCCCACTGCCGAACCCCACTGCTAACGCTTGTTATTGGTGTGAAGGAGACTCGCACGCAACACACAATTGCAGATTCAAGGACCAGACATGCTATCATTGCGGAAAGGTGGGACACATTTCAAGAGTCTGTTGCTCGAAACAACAAGGTAAGCCCAAACAAATGTAGAGAACACAGCAAAACACCCAAGAACATACTATTGAATACAGTAAGATCGATGAATATGAAGATTTATTAAGCTTGAAGATACATAATGTGGGCAACCTGAGCAGAAATGTTATCTGGGTAGATTTAAAAGAAGAGGGGAAACCTCTGAAAATGGAACTGGACATGGGCTCGGCAGTGTCGATTATCATGAATTGTACTTGAAGAAATTTAATGACATACCTTTGCAGAAAACTAAATTGTTGTTAAAAACTTGCACTAGGGAGAACATTACTCCTGTTGGAGTGCTTAGAGTACATGTTGAGTACAAAGGCCAGCAACCATTACTGTTGGATCTGTTTGTCGTCAAGGGCAAGGGCCCTGTGTTGATGGGGAGGGATTGGCCCTACAAGATACGCTTAGATTGGTGTGCCATCAATTCACTGAACATTTCACAGGCTGCACTAACTGCCAAAGAGCATCTGCAATCCATGCTAGACAAATACTCGGATGTTTTTGAAGATAAACTTGCAACATTCAAATCAGCTAAAGCAAAGCTAGCCTTCAAAGAAGACACCCAAGCTCGTTTCCACAAAGCTCGAGCTGTGCCATATGCCTTGAGACCAAATGTTGAAGAGGAACTGAGAAGACTTCAGAATGAAGGCATTCTCACGAAAGGCGAGTGGAGTGAGTGGGAAATTCCCATTGTACCCGTCCCAAAGAAAGATGGATCAGTACGAATATGCGGTGATTACAAAGTTACAGTGAACCCAGAGCTACAAGCTGAGCAGTACCCCTTACCCTGCATTGAAGACATCTTTGCAAGGCTTTCTGGTGGGCAGAGATTCTCAAAGATCGACATTTGTCAAGCATACCACCAACTAGAGATGGAAGAAGATTCTAAGAAATATCTCACTATCAACACTCATATGGGCCTGTTTCAGTACAACCAACTAGTGTTCGGCATCACATCTGCACCCGCTATCTGGCAGCATACGATTGATCAAGTGCTGGAAGGAACATCTGTACAAGTTGTATCCTTGATGATATGATCATTACAGGAAGGAATGATGAAGAACACCTGGCAAATTTGGAAGAAGTCCTGTGACGGCTACAGCATCGTGGCTTAAGAGCAAACAAGGCAAAGTGTGAGTTCTTCAAGGAGAAGATAACCTACTGTCAGTATGATATCGACAGCAATGGCCTACACAAGTCAGCGGAGAAAGTAGAAGCAGTTTTGAAAGCACCATGCCCAAACGATGTAGCTAAAGTAAGATCGTTCCTTGGGTTAATCAATGATTATCACAGGTTCCTGCCTAACCTGTCAATGGCAGTGCATCCCCTGCATCAACTCTTGAAGAAGATTCACAAATGGAAATGGACAAAACAATGCCATGAAGCATTCCACAAAGTGAAAGAAGTGATCACTTCAGAGAAAGTTCTAACCCACTACGATCCAAGCCTACCACTCACAAGAATTGAGGAAAAGTATGCACAGATTGACAAAGAAGCCAGTAGTCTGGAGGGTCAAGAAGTTTCATGTATATTTGTTCAGGTGCTCGTTCTCCCTGTGTACAGATCATTAGCCATTAACGTCACTCTTTCATCTGCAGAAAAGCATCCCTGTTGTCACTGCAGTTCAACTTCAACATTATGCTTTGTTCCTGGCCGGCTATGATTACACAATTGAATACAGAACACTAAAGTTCATAGTAATGCTGATGGTCTTTCCTGTCTCCCTCTTGAAGCAGAAATCAGAAATGAAGAAGTGGTAGACCCAGTGGGAGTCTTCAATTTGTTGCAGTTCAATCCACTACCAGTCACTGTGGACAGCGTCAGTAAAGGATGGCCATACAACCATGTTCCTGAACTCAACCCCTTCTTTATGCATAGAGATGAGATCACATTACAGTCAGCCTGCCTAATGTGGGGAATAAGAGTCATAATACCTCCCAAGCTGCACCCACAAGTCCTCAAAGATCTTCATTAGGGACATATCAGAGTCGTGAAGATGAAAGCCATTGCCCGGAGTTATATCTGGTGGCCTGGTATCGACAAGGAAATTGAACTGACTGCTAAGTCCTGCCCTGGCTGCCAACTAACACAGAGAGAGCCTAGTACAGTACCAGTGCACCCATGGGAATGGCCTTCGTTGCCCTGGCAATGAATTCATATTGATTTTGCAGGACCGTTCCTTAACAGCATGTTCTCGGTGGTAGTGGATGTGCATTCAAGATGGCTAGAGGTAGAGAGAATGAGTTCTACCACTTCAGAGAAGACCATTGAAACCCTTCAGATGTTATTTGCCAGGTATGGAGTGCCAGCCCAGTTAGTAAGTGACATTATCATGACACGTATGGCCCTGTGTGCAATTTCCTCAGAAAACCATAAGAAAAAGGGCCTCGTATGAGGGCCGTACACGTTGAAGTGATCAGGCTGGAAAAACACGCACCGCCCTACTAGAAATGCATATGGCCCTACAAAGAATGCATATGGCAAAATCGATGCGAGTTAATGACAAAAACAATTTTGTTGCTGCAAAATTTTGTTCTCTTCAAAATGAGTGATGAAAGTGAACATTCTGAGAGGTAATTTTACTATCCAGACAAACTGTCCGATACAGAACTACTTCAGTCGCCAACTCAGGGTCCAAAATTGCGACTGACTGGTTGCCAATGCAACTAAAAATTAAGTGTTGGCAACCAGAATTTTAAAACTGGTCGCCAAGAGGCGACTAACCTTTTGTCCTCTGGGCATTTGAAATTCCGAGGTAAAAGGGCTTTTTTTAAAGAGAAAACATGAAGCTCCTGTGGACAATTGTGGTAAAACGAAGTGAGGATTTTGCGATCGCCATATTTACCCAGCGCCATATTGTGTCAGTGGCTTCTCCCTATACGGATATTGCGGGCGAAAATGAGACTTAGTGAAATTGTGACAAGTTGTGACGAGATTGAAAGCGTTGGCGGAAACACGTGCGCTTAATTCTTAATACTTTACCTAAATTCCAGTAAATTTCAGCTCTGAAATATAAGTTGAGGTATTATCTTACCATGTACTACATGTGCAAAAGATGGCTATCAGCTCTTTGCGATCATTTTGTGATTTGCTGCTCCCAGGAGACGAAACATCCATTCTGAGATGTTTCGACGACTTAGATAAATGCTTGATTGTACAATCAGATTTAGTAGATTTGGCTAAGCTGCCTCGGGATGACCTTGGAATGAGCTTAATACCAGATGACATCGCTGCTAAGCCTTTGGCTTATGGAAATCCTGTGGCACTGTAATCAACTGGAAACGGCAATTGCTTATAGAGTTAGGTCTCACTACTCATTTTGTGGCGATGAATCTCGTTGCTGGAGAGTTGTATTTCAATGCTGAATATTATGCCAATCACAAAATTTTTTTAACTAAACGGAAATAATAAGAGAAAGAAATCCAAAGCCTTTGCTAGAATGTTGACAAACACGCTCATTGAGATGTAGGACTCTGTTACTGTTACACAGCTTTTGTGAGTCTCTCCTTTAATAGCTGTATGTATATTGCGTTGAATGAAAACATTTTGTTGAAAGGTTAAATTTTGTGCTTTACTATAAATTAAGGTAAATTATACCCTGGGAAACCACAAAAAGGCGACCAAACCTTTCCATCTGGCGACCAAAATTTTTAGGTTAGTCACCAGTTGACTCCGTTAGGAAAAGGTTAATTTCAGACCCTGCAACTCACTCTGAAAGCAAAGAAAGAAAGTCAACACTCCTCACAAATGAAGAAGTTTACAACTTTGTCAGAAGCCAACAGCAAGCAAACAGGTGGTCAAGAAAACAACTTTTCAGGATGAACTGTGTGATAGTTAATCTTTGGAATAAGCAAACAGTCTTGAGGTGAAACTTCTTTCAGTGGAAAGTATCAAAGAATTCACCCTAGGTCAAAAGCAAGAAAACAATGCGAAGAAAACAAAGCATGATATATTAAGTTAAATGTTTTTTTTTTTTGAGTTTCCAGAGCTTCTGGGAGAAGTTATTTAAACCAGAGAAATCACAAACGTACTGTTGAGTCGTGGTAAATATTAAGGGGGGAGGAGTTGTGGAGTGTTTGGCCAGCAGCTGACATTAGTGAGCATGTGCACTCATGCATGTTTCTGTAACCATGTGCTTTGATTCACATTAAACTGAATACGTGACAGGGTTGGCTTTGGCTTTCTAAAAATGGCAGATGATCAGACAGGTAGTGTGTGTGACGTCTGTTTGAGGTTGCTGTGTATGCACACATGTACTATTTACAGTGGTTGCTACTTACCTTGCAGATGGGAGATGTACTTGAAAATAATAATTGAATTCCATAGTATATTTTAATAGAGTAGTTTGTTTTAAGGTGGCTGAACACAGTTTTTGATACCTGTGTTTCATTCACCTTTTTCTCTAAAACCCTTGATACCACGGTCGCCAAAAATGGCTGCAAGCAAGTTAACAACACAAAGTTTGGTTTCTTGATGGTTAAGCTGACGTATGTGCCATTACCATGGCAACATGAATAAATATAAACAGGCCTTTAAAATCAGTTTTGTTTATTTGTAGAAAATCTAGTTATTAGATTTTCTTTATAATTTGCATGCGACAAGCTTGTAACAATTCTCACAAGTTAACACCATTTGCTAATAATTTAACAGAGAGATCTCTAATCATCCCTTGTTGAAGGTTCACTGGAATATCTAGAATTTCCTTTGTTAAAATTCAGTTATTTTCAATACTCCAGTTACTTATTTCCTAAAGTATTTTCATGCCCAATTTCGTGAAATTCTAATGAGTGGTTCTCGAGAAATAGGCGTATTTCCGAGAGTGCAATTTTTCATTCAATCGCAATTTTTTGACTTACTANACTTGGTACTTGTTGGAGATGGTGAGTTGGAATCTGTTCTTTATCTCATCGTCCTTCAGCATCCTGATGTTGTACTTGTGGCTTATTTTCTGCATGTCAGTGTTGTAGCTCTTCAGCTTCAAACGGCATTTGCCTACAAGAAGGTGGTGGTCTGAAGCAACATCGGCCCCTCTCTTTGCTCTAACATTGAGCAATGACCTTCTGAACTTGGATGATATACAGATATGGTCAATCTGGTTCTCGGTTCTGCCGTTTGGAGAGACCCAAGTTGCCTTGTGTACCCTCTTGTCTTCTTATGCCTAACAATAATTATTTAGAGTTGTCAAAGATTCTCTAAGATGATCACAGTCAGGACCAGCCTCAGGTTACATTGTTTGGGGAAGGTTTTTCTTTTTCAAGCCATCTTATTTTTGATTTGATATAATTCTCTGACAGTCTCCTTTTGACTTTAAGCAACTGTATTCTAGAGAAAGATGACAGTTTCAGATAGACGGTTTGCATAAATGGTGCCGACATTTGAATAACAATACTTATACATCCGAAGCCTCATGTTCATGTGAAAAATCTGTTGTCTGGAAATATTAACGCAAGACTTAGGATGTATTACATGAATTATTGTCATTCAAAGTATGGCATCATTTATACAAAGGCCCTATGAGGGATGTGTTATGATCTTTCATATGTTCACTTCAATTTGTTTTTTGCAACAAAAAACAGTCTTCATGTGTAAACAGGATTTAGACTTTCATGCAGAACCAGTTTGAACAACAGCTAGTTATATTGAGGAGAAACTTCCCAACACAACCAGTGGATCATTTTAAGATCATTTAGCACCAGAAGAAAAGAACATATCAGAAATACAAAACAATGTGCTAAAGGTTCCAACGTTACAAATTTGCATGGACTTTTCACTATGTAATTGACTTTGACAACTCCACAATCATTGACAAAGGAAACCATCGCACCAGAGGGTTGCTTGAATCATGCCACACAGCAAAAACTGTTGAGGCTGATAACAACTCATGCCCACTCCTGAGACAATATGACATTCTTTTACACAAACATTAATTTTAGCACTTTTGGCATTCTTTCGAACATTCTCTATTTGTGCAGTAATTTTAAATTTATGTGAATTACTCTCTATATTATAATTTTTAAAGTTTCATTTTATATTTTTTAGTACTTTTTACCAGAGAACGCTATATTCTCTATTATCAAGACCTGTAGAATCGACCATGTTGACTCAAGGACTTGTTTGCAATTTGTGGGAGGTACATGTACAGTGGCCTAATTTTTTGAGAAGCTACAGTAGACTGTGGGTTGAGGAGTTCTGCTTTGAGCCTTGGTCAGGGTCATTGCTTTGTGTTTTGGAGCTAAGACACCTTGCTTTCACAGTGCCTCTCTTCACCTACTATATAAATGGACACTAGTGAATTACTTGGTGAGGGTAACCATGCAATTGACTTAATGTTACGAAAATCAGGATAAGCTCCAGCAATGCGGACACTTAGGCCAGCACAGAGTGCACCTTGCATGCAATGTATGCATGTGTTCATGCTATTTTATATGTGAGTAGTAAGGTTCAGTACATAAATTACAGGTGAGATGAGATGGAGAGTAGGATACAATTAAGAGACATGAAAGCAGCGACAAAGACGGCTCTGAAATGTGCTAGTCATTATTTTAAAAAATGGCATTATTATTTACGGTATTTCTTTTCATTCAACTCTGTACTTTGGCTCCCCATGGCATCAACAAATGCTTTTATTGTAATTAATTAATTCATGTATTTTTCGAGGTCAGATAGCGGTAGTCCTTGGTTCTTGTACAGCTGGAGGTGCTTATGTGCCAGCCATGGCTGATGAAAGCATCATTGTCAAACAACAAGGAACAATCTTTCTTGGGGGACCACCATTAGTAAGTGAATGTTCATGGTAATTATGTTCATGTGATATAACTGACAAATATGGTGCATACATTGTGCATGTCATTAATTGAAGGGGCACATCAGGGCTCAAAAAATTTTTGAATTTCCACCTTGCCCGTTGGGCAAGTAACTCTCAAATTTTGCTTGCCCAAGGCACTTCCCCGCCCAAGTTTTCAAACTCATTAATAATTCATGAACCCAAAAATGGAAGTCAAACGACAGGCATGTTTTAATGTAATAAAACCATCTTGACTGTAGTCCTCTTAGTGCTGATCACATGCATGTTTACGTCATAATACATTATATTGTAATACTTCCACAACTTTTAACTCCTTCATTCTGCTTTTATGAAGTTGTACGGTTTGTAGTAATTAACATGGATGAACACTGTTATAATCACATTGAAGTAGTGGGAAATTTTGGATGCCTTGTGTAGTAAGATGCGTGTAAAATCAGCTTGATTGCAGTGAGAAGCCTTAACAACAAATGGAGATCCTCATTCCCAACAAGTATAAGGGAAGCAGAGCAATAGAAGCAGTTACCATCACCACATGTTTTTATGGCGTCAAATTCAACTTCCCTGGAATTTCAGAATGTGATAAAAATGCTATCAGGAATTAAATTTTGTCCGACAGCATTTTTTGCCAATGCCTCCCAGGTGAAGAAACAAAGTTTGCGAAGTTGTTGTTGTTCATTTGTGTCCTTCCTAGTTCCTGTATTACACGCTGGGTATCTTTGTTATTATACAGCCTTGAATCAATTTGTTCATTTCGTCGAAGCTCACGTTTGACTCCTTGAATGTTCACCTGCATCTTGTCTAGCTCCACAAAATCATTGTGAAGAGAAGCACAAGAAATTTTTAACACACAGAATTATCAACAAGTCACCTTCCCACTTCAGTTTTGACCCAGGCACAGTGTCGAATTTGAAAAGCTGGCGCAAGCATATTTTTTCGTTTGAGTGAATGAAAAATAGTTTCAGTCGAGGGGAAACCTCTTTGTTTGAAAGAAACACTATTTTAAGTCATCTTCCGAGAACTCTGAAAGTATTTTGATGACTTATCCATTTCTTTTTAATAATATAATACTTTTCATTTTGCGCGGCGCCCAAGTATGTTATCACTAGCAAACTTGCATGTTTCGCTGAAAACAGAGAGTTCCCAGGATTTTAGCATCAAAAATGCTGGCTTCGTTTTCGCGGTAGAAATATGTGAACTCGACAAAATGACCGCAAACTCGTGGTTATTATTCAGTACCTGCAGGAGGAAGTAATTCAATTACGTGTCAACACTACGCCAGTATTAAAGGATTTGTAATCATGCAGTCATGGCAACGGCACGGATAGAAACGTTCTTTACAAAAAAAGTGACTCCCTTATTTTTAATTGTAAGCCGTCAAGTTTGAGCATCCTCATCTTAGTTTCCAAATGAAGCAGAGCCTCTAGATAAAGCATCCAAATAATGGTGTCACTTCCTCCATCTCAAAGATACCAGGTAATTGAACTCTGAAGTATGCCCGCATTATGTGGGGGCTGAACTTAGAGTCAAAGAGACTTGCATATACATGGCATACTCAAATCCAAACAAGAGCAAAAATTGTAGTCAATTGGTAAAAAGACAGTCTTTAATAAAGCAATATTAATACTTAACTAGACTTACAAGCATGAATTAGAAACTAGTAGTCAAAGATTAGGAATGCGTTCGACTCTGTCACTTTACAATATAAAAAACTTTAAGGCATGACTTCACTAGCTGACTTTCAACCTCTGTCCATTGCTGTAATCAACATTCTTCATCAACAATCAGGGTTTTACAGACAGATATATCATAGTGTCAATTTTAAGAGGTCTCCTGTGTAAAATGTGGGAGGCGCGGTGGCCTCATGGTTAGTGCGCTCGTCTCCGGATCGAGCGGTCCGGGTTCGAGCCCTGGCCGGGGACATTGTGCTGTGTTCTTGNCAGAAACCGGGATAAGCTCCGGCCTGATGGGCCACTTGGCTCGTATGCAGACTTTACCTTACCTTTACCTGTATAAAATAAGACTTGTCGATACATTGTGTGATGGCACCAGTTTCTGTAGACTCACTTTTTAATAGAAGTAAAAATATTTACATCAGCCTTCAAATTTCTTGCTAAATATTCTCACATTAGTTGGTAATGTTTAAGCGTAAAAGCCTATTTGTGAATGCTGTGTCTCTATGTCCGGCAGCTGGACAGGTTTTTCAAGATACTCCATGTCCGGCAGTCAAAATTATTTTTTTTTAAATTTCAGTTAATAATGTCAAATCCTTGTTTATATGGCTGAATACTAATTTTTGGTGAGCCCAGCACCCAGTATATCGCGATTTATAACGTAGACTATTGTAAAGTGACCAGCAGTCAAAATGTTTGAATAGCACTCTGGTTAGCCTACAAAGCACTCCGGTTAGCCTAAATAGCTCTCCGGTTAGCCTGTTTATGGTTAGCTTTCAATAATGCTAAGGGTAACACTATAAATACTTAAAAAATTCCGCATTTTGCCGGCCGGTTGCCGTGGCACAATGGTCATGGGTATTGCTTGCCCTTTCCCAGCGACCTGGGTTTGATTCCTCTTGTGGTCGCCTGTTGTTAAGTTCTTTTTATGTTGTTTTACTTTATAAAAAAATTTCTTAGTCTCACTGCTGGACATGAGTATTTTAAAAAACCTGTCTGGCTGCCGGACACGTAGCCGCAGCAATTTGTAAAAGTATATTTTTTACGTACATTATTCTAAGTTGGAAGCACAAATATCAGCAAACATTTGGAATTGTGCGCTCATTTATCGTGATCAAACTCCATGCGACTTATTCCAGTATTTCCCCTGATGAATAAAGTAGACAGTATTTGTTTGGGCAAACAGCTTCAGGGCATTTTCACTTCCGAAACAATGAAACGGAGGACATAAATAAACAACTGATCTGCCACAGTCCACAATAAGCTGCCTCGACACTCAAAGGTCCGGGATATTGCATAACACTCGAACTAAGCATTTAAAAGCATTTAAGCGAGGGTCTTTGTTTTGTAGTTTGAGCTGGCCTTATCTACAAAACGAAGACCCATTGATTTCACGTCTGTTGGTGTCTGAAGAAAAGCGTTGAACAAAAGATCAGCAAAGATGTTAAAACCTAAAATGCTTGCAATGAAATAGTAAATCTTACACTACAAAGACTACAATGATTGGAATGGAAATATCAAAAGAAGAAACGAGACGTAGATAAAAACAACGCTGGAGTTATTTTGCCAAAAAAGTACCGACTTTTGTGAGAACAATGATAACAGGTAATGCTAAATTAGGTATTGTGTTTATAATCCACGTAACTATTTGATACAATTTCTATAATTGTAGTTAACATGAACCCAAAACGGGAAAGCGGTGTTGAATGATGGAATGCACCTGCTATAATTCAATATAGTTGATTGATGTAAAAGGTGCACGACATGAAGGTTATTCAGGATACTCCGGCATAGTGAATTCTTGCTAATATTAGACAGTAAGTCAAAAGCGAAATGCTGAGGTGGAGGTTGGCTGCCCTTTCGGCAAACGGAAAGATGTTGGTGTTTAGTGTTCAGAGTCTCGTGGCAGTAATGGACAGAATGAAGAAGCCAAAGTTATGACTTACGATGAGCTGAAAGAGAAATATTGTAACCACCATTGTATTGCATTGTAACCACCCTTTGTTCCACCAGGAACGTAATGGCCTAACTACTAGAGAGTTTACTCTATGTTGGCTAAAGGATGAGGCACTGATTGCATCGAGCTGTGTTTGTGATGTATGTCAGTCAAGTATGAACTGGGTTGAATGTAAGGATCGATCAGATGGTTATGTATGGAATGCAGCAGACAGATTGGATGGAAAAGACATCTAGTGAAAAGAAGCATAAGAAGAGGCAGCTGGTTCAAGAATTCTAACTTGTCAGTGGAGGAGGTGATTAAGTTTACCTACTGGTGATGCCAGGGACTTGACCAATGGCAAATTAAACTTCAACTCAGACTCAGATCACACACAGCTGTGGACTGGGACATGTTTTGTTGAGAACTCTGTGAGGTTACACTCTTCAAGAAAAGAGAGAAACTTGGAGGTCCAGGTAAAGTTGTAGAGATCAACAAGTTGAAAATCGGCAAAAGAAAATGTCATCACAGGCATGTTGTGGCAGGGCAGTGGGTTTTCGGTGGCATAGAGGAAGAATTCCGAAAATGCTTTATTGTAACGGTTGAGGACGGAACAGAGGCCACACTGATAAGCCACATTCAAGAATGGATCGAGCCAGGAACTACAATTGTCAGTGATTGCTGGAAGGGCTACGTAAACTTAGAAAAATATGGCTACCAACATAAAACAGTGAACCATTCAGTTGAATTTGTCAACTCAGAAGGCTATGAGACAAATGAAAGTCAGCCTACCGACTCATGGCAGAAAAAAGGAACATTATTCTTCTTATCCTGCGGAATTCATTTGGCATTTTGTTAACCATGACAAGGACGTGTTTCAAGTATTTCTAAAGGATGTTGCCTTTGTTTACAAATTTTAAGATTTAGGAAAAAAGACTGTTACAGTAAGAAACACTGAAGTGTTGAACTGGTGGTTTTGAGGAATGGGAAAGACTATTCGTGACAAATTGTATGTAGTGTATGAAGAGACTGAACGGAATTGCTCTTTTATGTATTTGATTGTTAAGTGCACGAATTCATGGTATTTAAAGTGAAATGTAGTTGATGTTCTGTTGCAATCGTGTGACAAAGGTAAAACTGGAGATTAAAATGTGTTCTTCAAAGGGTGTAATTTTCACCTTCAAACTTAAAGAATGAGGCTTACACACATTCTTTTGATGCTTGCTGGGTGCATTAACATTGTTCACAGTTTTAGGCATTATTCTCGTTCAAAGACTGAGAAGTAAGTAAGTTGATGCGTAGTCAGAGATCATTTTATCCGTTCCAGTGGAAAAGTAGTTAGAGGAAAGTCGCATAATTTTCGCCTTCAAGCTTAAAGAACAATAAGTAGTTAGAGGAAAGTCACAATTGGTCAGTGCATACTTTGGGTTATGGTTAGTGACGTTTAGAAGGAGGAACAACATATTTCTCACTGTGTACCGCATACCATGTAGCCAACCTACATATTTCTCACTGCGGACCATGTAGCCAAAGTGAAACATAAAGAACGCCATTTTGAATCCACAATTTAATCTATTTTGGAATAAATTACACACTTCAACTTGAATTTATTTAATAACTTTCTGCGTACTGCGTAGCCGGCTACAAAGAAGTTAGTTCGAGTGGCAGGGTATTCTGCAGTTAAGCCTATTTCTGGAATGACATAATGTCAGAGAAGATAACCGTTATTGATCGTTGACACAGAGAAACATAGTCGCCATTATGGTCGCCTGTGAACACAGATGTATTTTTGGCTGTTGACTAAACCAGAATTTTTGGTCGCCAAAGATGAAATTTTAGCGGCATTGGCAACTGTACCGGTCGCAATTTCAAGCCTTTTAACAATGTATCTAACTAAATTTTATGGGTGGACAATAACTTAGTGTTGGTGAAATGTTTGGATGTCATGTCTGATCATAATGTGAAATTGGCCAGACATATTTAAAATTTGGTCGGACAATGCCCGATGACCAACTGTTATTTCCAGCCCTGTTTTGTACAGTGTACTTCCTCTGTTGCGTGTACATATAAAACAGTGGCATGTTACCATTGTTACCAACAGTTTTTGGTCTGTTGTAGAAGTTTTTATTCAACCCTAGGCCTGAACTTGGTTGTTAACAATCATTTCTACATAATGAACTCTACACTCTACGGCTTTATCATCACACATATCTAGATAATGAGCTCTATGATCACACTTTTCTAGATGATGAAGTCTAGATCTACGGCTCTACCACTCTACTGCTCTACTGCTCTACCACTCTACTGCTCTA